AGCTGTCCTCCTCTTGACAGACTGTCCCTTACCACCCTGCTTTATTATCTGGACTTAATTTAATTATTTCGTATCTTATTATCTATATGAGTGGATTATCTATAGCTGGTAAACACAAACAAAAGATACATCATGAACAACAATAACAGCACCAGCTGTTTCAGTAACACTGTTTTGTTGCAGCAAACAAATTTAGAGGCAGATTGTTGATTTGTGTCCAAAGCAGCATCTGTTGTGTCTCTGCTGGTTGTGGAGTCAGTGTACTGCAGTTCTCTCTTTTTTTTTTTCAGGCAGCTCAGTTTGGATATAAAATACAGTATTTCTTAATTAATTAGCTTTGTCTGTGCACTTTTATTGAGACACTTACACTCATTTGTGTTCTACAAGGTGAACTACAAGGTCTTCCATCACAATCTAAATCCTTTTTACACAGAGATCGCGCTATAGGGCTGCTAGGAAGTCCCGTCTTTATTCCGCCTTTGTGTTTTTACACAGAACCAAACGACCGCACCATCATTCCGTCCCAGTGTGTGATAATAGACAGCATGCCGGCATCGCAGAATCGAAAGAGGAGTGACAGGCGTGACATGTAACACAACAGCGTTGGTCTATAGTGTGACATAAAACATATGCAGTGGCAATGACATGGCGATAACAGTCATTTACCGTCTCTGTTATGGGCAGCTGATTTTGTCCTCTGCTCGGAGGGTAAGGAGCTCCCAAATCTCATTGTTTTCCCAAATTGCAGACTCAAGGCCGCTGTTCTTCTTTATTGAGTTAGCTGCTAACTACTAACATCTACTTTTTAAATCTCCTTTGTCATCAAAATGTTATACCCTCTCCACCCATGGTCCTGCCCTCTTTATACAGACAATGGTTTGGCACTGTTACTACCTCCCGTGGTGGCTTAAAGGCGAGACCACTCTGTCTCCCCATTCCGCGATCGTACCTTATATACAGCACAATGAGACGGCATAACAGCGTATTGTTCCCTCCTTGAACAGGAAGTGTAAAAGGGGCTAATATTTCCCACACCACAGGTCTGATTTTGACTAGGGCTGCAACTATCATTCATTTAATTTATCTGGAAGTTATTTTTTCAGCTAATTGTTTTGTCTATAAAATCCACAGAGCTTAGGTACTGTTTAAATGTGTTTTGTCAGGCCACTGTAGATCTCCTATCGCTTGGCCAGTTTTAGTTGAATGCAGTCTGCAACCTAGGTGCCACTAGATGCCACTAAATCCCACACGCTAGACCAGTGGTTCCCACCTGGTGGGTCGCGGTCCAAACTTCACTTACTTCAAAATAAAGTGAAATTGCAAGTCAATTGAGTAAAAAACACACTTTAATTTGAAGTAAGTGAATTTTCAGCACATAACTTTTCAAGTGTCGTTTCCTGATGTAGAGTGAGCAACTTACAGACAGTTACTTGACAGAGACAGCAAACTAGCTTGACGGCATGTTCAAATGCAAGTATGACACTGAATATATTAAACTGTGTGGACCTTGAACTAATAACTAAGGAGAAATCTGGATCCCGTGGCTGGACCAGTTGGAAACCACTCTCTAGACCTAACAACTAATCTATTATGTAGTTTCATATTTCTGTCAATCAACTAATCAACCACTAATATCTGCTATAATATTAACAGCAGTTTGGTGAATGATACACAAGTGATAACCACCTTGTCATAGCTGTTCTTGCTCTATAAATTTCCTCCAGGACAATCAAAGATTTTTAGCTTTTCCCTTATTTGGGACTTCCTGTTGAGTTTTTTGACCTGTCAGCACCAAATGTGGTGCGTAGCCACAGGGGACAAAGCCTTACTGTATTACATCAGAGGCTTGTGAGTCAAATAATTGAACAGGACGGGGCTCAGCACAGCAGGGCTTGGTAAATTGCAGTGTTGAAATGCCCTTCAGAAATGTGCTGCTTTTAACTTCACTGAAGTCATGATTAAACAGCCACTCGCTAAGCAAAACAGAAATGGGTATGTTGTGGAGAAGCATTATAACTGTATACACTTTGGCGGTGCTGATTTGCTTGTTTGTGGGTTCAGAATATGTCTGTTGTATATGTAGAAGAAGTATGTTAGATATTTTGGCGTGTGCACAAACCAGTGTTTGTTCGAACTCTGCCCTAATGGCAACAAATCTGGACATCGGCCTGCTCAAAGAGAGACGTGATTTAAGACTGTCTGCAAATGTTCATACCCCCAAAATTATTCAAACTGGCACTTTGTCATCTTTCAATTAGTGTAGGTTGCATGTGTGGGTTTGCACCCACTGACTATTATATCCTTTAATCATGTGGAGGCAGGTGTGGTGTGAGAACGGGTGAGACATGGTGCATTTGCCATCTGTCCCATCGTGCCAGGTCTCCGGCTGTGTCCTCAAACCCACTTACATCGGCATGTGCGTCGTGGTCCCCCCTCCTCCTTTGCTAACACACACATACACAACGGCACACACACACACATGCAGCAGGGGTCAGACTCGAGCCAACATGGCTTAGTCTAAGCTGACTTGTTCTGTTTACTATTATTTATATTGGTTCTCCCTATTTGGCGACCATGTCCACATAAAGTGCCAACTCCAGGACGTCTGTATCTGACAAGCATGTACTGACCTGGGCCTGAGAACAGGTACAGGTACAGAGATCACAGAGTAGCATTTATTTTCTCTGTTTTGGCAACTTCTTTGTGTTGAGTAAAGAGAGGGGAGCATGTTCACACTGACATGCAGCAATTACCTGTCACTGCTAACACTTCAAAGACTTTTAATGTGAGGATTGATAAGAAGAGGAGCTCTCCTGCATTTTTCAAACAGTTGTGTGTGTGTGTGTGTGTGTGTGTGTGTGTGAGCTTTTTGGTTGAGTGGGGGCTGGGTGCTGGAATAAAGCAGCTTTGTGCCTTGTGAACTTGAGCCACAAGTGCCAGCTGGCAGGCCGTTATGCAATCACAACAGAGATATACACATGCAATACATGCTACATATGGTCACATTGTCGCATCCAAACACACACTCACGGGACACCCACACCTCACCGTCACCCCGGGGCATTTAATTGTGACTCCACCGGTCCCACAAACAGACACACCCACCTCTAGACTGAGGAGTCAGCGGATGAGACAGGGTGTAATATGAGGCTGAGGGAGATTATTGCTCCCATCTTCACCTCCCTCTCTTAACTGCAGCAAGGATTGACAGCCAGGCTTATGTCAGCGACCTCATTTCCTGCTTATTTGGGATGTGCTGGTCCTGATGAGAGATCCCCAATAACATCTGTGATGAGATTGACTTTACTCGAATTGTGTAAGTGCAATTGCAAATTTTGCAAAGTGCAAAAACGACTCACTATACATAGACTGTACTTGGATGAAGTCTTGAGTGATGATCTGTAGATTGTGTTTTTGTGTACCAGTGTGACAACTGCTGTATTAGTAATTTCTGGCTGCAGGGAGTCTGGCTGACTCAACCTCAAGAATGTGTGTGGGCAGGTTTGTGACATAATGTCTCCAACGCAAAGTGTGTTCATAAATAATATGGTTGCAAACTGTGGGAGTGCCCTTATGAATGTGTTGTAAAATGAGTTATTATCTTACGAGCCCTGCTGATCGTGGTTGTGTTAGAACCGGTCTCAGTGCCTTGGTTTAGTAAAGAGCGATCCACACTAGAGCCCTGTACGGGACTGCTTTATCTATTGTGTGTGATAGCTCCCGTCTGCATCCCCAAACATTCTGATCATACATGCCCACATAATTGATTATCAACAGATTAAGACTGCAAGGATTCAGTGTTTTTATTACTGTCAATAATATTCCTGGGAAATTCCTTCAAATGACCAGCTTACCTTGTTTGTCTTTGTATTGTTAAGACATGCACCCTGATATAAACAGAGTTTAACTTTTGCAATGCAGCAGCGCTCACCGCATGTCATGTGGCAAGGAACAACCAATCACAGCTCACAGATATCTTTCCCTTCTTCTGTAAATATACAGTCTGATAAATACGCAGGGCTACCCAGAGCTTTACATCTGTCCCACGGACGATAGGCCCACAAACTTATAAACAGCACCTGGAAGAAGATCAGCTCTGCACTCAGGATTTATAGGTATATAGGCTATGATACGGTGCTTATTAAGTTTGCTTAGCAACCTCAGACACAAGCTGCTGCCGTGCTCTTGAAAGCTGGCACATAAAAAGGCACAAAAGTAGTGCCCACCGCCTGACCTCGCATTTTCCAGGTGGTTAAAGACACGTATGTAGGTATAAACAGCTCATTCTAAGATAACAAAGACACAACAATTCATAGTTTCAGTTGATAATACACTAAAGAAAACATACCTACCCTAAATCAACACACTGGACCTTTAAATAGTTTTTGTGATAGTTATCATTCTTGGTGTGGACAGCCATTCCCAGCAAGCATGTATCACCAAGCAGCAGCAAAGTGCCCTGCGCCAGGCTGCCATGCAGTGTCTATGAAAAGTTGCAGCGGCTGCTCCAAGCTGCAGCCATTTGATTCTGTGGCAAAGTGTGGCTAAACTAAATGTTCGGGATATTTTCACAATTAGTTTAGTTAAATTGCAGCCAGAGAACATTTGCAACCAATCTGTAAACAGTCCTGTGACATGTTGACCTATGTTACCAAGAATTTCCTCCCATCTGAAAAACATGAAGATACTGTCTGGCTGCAGAAAAATGTTATTGTCTTCTGGCTTAATTGTAGAGTTCAAAAATCAACTGAACTTTCAATTTTTTTTATATATTTTCTTTGTATTTCTGATTTGTAAAATGCTCCTGGAAAACAGGGACTGATGTAAATCTGAAGTCTTAAATCAGGTCAAAACCCTAACGCTGGGGTTTAGACCTTGTTACCTGAAGCACCGGCAGAACCCAGCTTCCTGAAATATTTGACAGTTGATCAGCTTGTGTTGTAAATCAGTAAAAGGAAAGTCCTCAGGGATGAAGCTTAAAGTTGTCCTTGTCTTCACAGGAAGATCTGTGTACACTGCAAGTGTGTGCGAGAGGAGCATGCAGTGCGCTCGGTTCCGGGCCAGCTGGAAAAGATGATGACGAAGCTGGTATCAGACTTCCAGAGACACTCCATCTCCGACGACGACTCAGGCTGCGCCTCAGAGGAGTACGCATGGGTCCCACCTGGGCTCAAGCCTGAACAGGTAAAAACTGGGGTGCAGAGCAGACGCACAGTCAAGACGAAAATTAATGCACAGTGCACGCTTCCACTTGGACATGTTCGTACATACACAAACAATTAGATAACTATGAGAAAAAAAATAGTCAGTGTTTTTGATTTATGAGTACACTTGAATAAATTGCTGTATAAATGGCTCTCTGTACTCTGTCATTTATGCTCTCTATGTGAACACACTTGTCTCCTCACAGGTCTACCAGTATTTTAGCTGCTTGCCAGAGGACAGGGTGCCTTATGTGAACAGTCCAGGGGAGAGATACCGAATCAAACAGCTGCTGCACCAGCTGCCAGCCCACGACAGTGAGGTAACAACACTGTGTTACAGTCTTTGGCTTCACTCCTGGTGTGCTGCAGTAGTGTGGTCACATGTTAAATACATACAATCACTAAGTCTAACAAATTAGTCAAATCACAGTACGACAATACCTTATTATTGTTGATTCTGAGCTGTCTTTCAAACTTCACATAGAGGCTGTTTTGGAAAATAGTAACTGGGCATTCTTTATATTTCCAAACATTGTTTTGTCTTTTAATGTCAGGGGGGAAATGGATTATGCTCATATTGTGTATCACAATACTACTACTGTTACTACTGTTTGCTCACAAAATGATCATTTGTGTATCAATTAATTACTCACCTTGTGTTACTTCGAATTTGTGAAGAAAACTGTGTGTATCACGCATGTCTCCACACTGAGCGAAGAATCCAAAAACAGCAAACATTCTTAATGAACTGAAGTAGAAGGACCACGTTTAACAACCACATTTGGATTCTTTAATTTTTTTTGTTTTTGTTTTTTTTTTTTTTTTTCATAAATCCAGGGTAACAGAGGTGAGTAATTGATATACAAATAGTGATTTTGTGGGTGAAGTATTCCTTTAAATGTTATTTGCAGTTGTTAATGGTGATTTATTTTTGAAATGTCTGCTTCATGCCCATCATGGCATAATGTATGAGTCTCCTAAAACCAGAAGAAAGTGCTTCATACGTCCCTGTAATTAAAAATCATTCTGTTTCTACAGTTCAGTTTGGTCAGAATATAATCCAGCTGCTTCTGATGCTCACTTTTATAATTTATCAGGATCCTAGTGCTAAAAAGATGATGCATCTCAGGAGCCATATAAACAGTTTCAGATATAAAAGTATTAACAAGACCATAACAGCCTGATTTAATTAATCTTACTGAATCTAAGAGGTAGGTGTGGTTTGGAAGTTACGTTTGTGTGCACGTGTCAACAAGAATATCTTTGTGTTTCCTGCAGACCCAGTACTGTAACTCTCTGGACGAGGAGGAGAAGAAGGAGCTGCGTTTGTTCAGTCAGCAGAGGAAAAGAGAAAACCTGGGCAGAGGCGTCGTCAGACTCTTCCCAGTAACTATGACGGGAGCCATCTGCCAACAGGTAGAGCAACATTTATTTTATGTTCAGAAAAGGTAGCAGATTTCCTCATGAGGCCACTATAAAACTCAAAAACATCAGTATCTTTATATGATATTAATGCATTCAGGTGGAACCTATTAAAAAACATGAGATCCGTGCAGAAGAGTTGTTTTATAGGACTGTAGAGCGTTCAGGTGCAAGTAGGTGCAGGCATAGCTCAGGGGCCACAGCACGCTGGGATTTAATGATTACAGGGCTGTATAACATTCACCATCTGACTTCCTTCCTTCTGCACCACACCCCACCCCCATGCCAACCAAATCTATTTTTCCAGTGTGGCAGACAGATCTGCGGTGGAGACATAGCGGTGTTTGCCAGTCGGGCAGGACACAGCAGCTGTTGGCACCCTCAGTGTTTCCAGTGTGCCACCTGCAGCGAGCTGCTCGTCGATCTGATTTACTTCTTCCAGGACGGACAAATCTACTGCGGCCGGCACCACGCTGAGAGGCTCAAGCCCCGCTGCCAGGCCTGCGATGAGGTGACTGTCTCACTCAGATCCCCAACCTGTCTCATAAACTGTCAACAACAGCAGGAGGTTAAAGCAGGTCTATAAAAGCAAAGTGTGGTGGGAGTCAGACAGCAAGAAACTGAGTATCCTGCCAGTATAACAGTATTTATACTGAGCTCATACCCAGTTTCCAGTTTCCTTTCTCTCTCTCAAACCGTCCGCTGAAGGCAACAGTTTTAGTTCAGCGGTAACTTGTGCAGAAAAATCCTTTAACATATCCCCAAATTTATCATAATATCCTGTCAGCTGTTATATCATTGGTATTTGTAGAGAGATATTTGCAGATTTTTCTGGCGGTCTCCTCTTGTTTTGAATGGCCTCTCAATGTGACTTAAGAGATTAGTTGACGTAGTCGACTAATGGATCTGCCACGACTGACCTACAAGAACCCAGAGGATGGCTAAGCCTGCAGCAGGGGAGCCGATAGCATCTTTTTTTTTCCTATCTTGTTAACCCAAATCCTCAGCACTCATTTTTACAACTGATTTGTTTACTTCTGTACCCATAAAATCATCACTGCTGTGCCGACTGACCTCTCCGTCTCCCTCCTCTCTTTTGCTGCTGTGTCTCAATCCTAGATTATTCTGGCAGATGAATGTACAGAGGCAGAAGGGAGATACTGGCACATGAAGCACTTCTGTTGTTTTGAGTGCGAGGCCGCGCTGGGCGGTCAGCGTTACATCATGAGAGAGAGTCGACCGTACTGCTGCTCCTGCTACGAGTCCCTGTATGCAGAGTACTGCGATACCTGCGGAGAACACATAGGTACTGAGCTAAGTTTAAAGGAACTTATTGACTGGGTTTCTGTACAGATTTCTGTCTTATCTGTGGTGCTTTTTATCAGTCTAGATTGATTGGGTGTTATTTGCTGAGTGTTGGAGTTATTGGCTTTAATCTCACAGATGCTATAAATGCTATATTTATCCCAGTTATTACGTCCTTAAAAGTGGCTAAACAGTGTTGATGTGTATGATGTGTCACTTATACTTATGCATTAACATTTATATTTGTTTGTGTTTGATACCCCACGTACATACTGTATACATGCTGTATACATAGACTAGATAATAGAGATAGACACGCAATCATTAAATCATTTCCTCTCAGGTATTGATCAGGGCCAGATGACATATGAGGGTCAGCACTGGCACGCCGTGGAGTCGTGTTTCTGCTGCGCCCGCTGTCGACTCCCCCTGCTGGGACGTCCCTTCCTCCCTCGAGCGGGGCTCATCTTCTGCTCCAGGCCCTGCTCGCTGGGTGAGGACCCCAACAACTCCGACTCCTGTGACTCTGCGCTGCAGAGCAAACCGCCTCAGCACAGACGCTGTGAGACAGCAGGGAAACAGCAGCAGCCACAGTGCGGTTCTCCGTTGCAGCCACCAGAGGGCATCACTGCTCCTATAACTCCTGCAAAAGACTGCATTCACACTGCAGTGGGAAACAGAGGTGATGATGGTATACTGGTGTCATACCCACATGTTATGTAGGTCACACTGCTGAGAAATGACCCTGTAAGAGATTATTCTCACACATCTATTCACTCTGCTTCTCTCAGGAGTCCACTGCACTGCTCCAGTTCAAAACGGACTTCCTTCACCCAGTGGTCATCCTCATCCAAGAGGCTCCTACTCACCTCTCCCCCACATCCATCTAGGAAATGGCTTAGGTCCATCTTGGCCCAGCGATCTTCCACATTACAGTTTACTGCCAGGTGACTCTGGCGTCAAACCTCCTGCTGGTGGAGAGCTCAATGGAAATACTGGACTGACTGGTCTGAATTCAAGAGGAACCTCTACTGCTAAAGACTGTAGGAACTGGGTGGAAAGGACGAATCAAGTTATGCAAGGTATCAGAAATTGCTGATGCTTCACACACTTACACAAACAAACATGGTGTCAATATTTTATAACTTTATAATCTCCTGATTTTCTCTCTGCAGTGTTTCCTCCTCAGAAAAACTCCCACCTCATTTCACCTGACTCGCCTCCCCTCTCGCCCAACAACCCCTCCATCCTACCACCTCCTCTGCCCCTCAAGTCTCGTGACCTGATGCCCCAGGACTCACCCCCACCCCAAAACCTCCCCCAGCCTGAAGACAGACCCTCTGACTCTCCGCCCCCGCTGACTCGAAGTGGCACAGCGAGGGTCAGCTTCAGAGAGCCAATCAGCAGCAGCTACTCTGTCGACGAGGACGAGGATGAAGACGAGAATGAGGAGGGGTTGCGAGAGGGCGAGGAGAATCAGCAGGAGGAGGACGAGGTGGAGGGAGGTTTCGGAAGCAGGTTACATCTGCAGAAAGGCATCCCTCCACAGATGGATCTGCTGGGTAAGAAAAGGCTTTCTGAGTCCACAACATCACTCCTACTAAATAAGGTGTTTGATACTGTGGGCCGCAGCATCCTGTCTCTTATGTATTGTTGTCTTTCTACAGGTTGTTTTCCCTCTTGCTTTAAGCACGCAGTGGTTCAGCCATTCCTTATTCCATTTAGACTCGTTTCCAAGCTCCATTTTTTATCCAAAAGACTAGAAAAAGAGTTTACCAACAATGTCATTCCTTTTTAGGCAAGAACAAAATATTCAAAGCTTTTCAGTCTAGTTTTAGGAAGCAACATAGCACTGAATTTGCTCTTTCAAAAGTTCACAGTGACTTGCTAGCAGCAGCTGACAGTGGGGACCGTGCTATTCTGATACTTGTAGACCTTTGCGTGGCATTTAATACAGGCGATCATTAACTTACTGGACTTAAACAATGGGCTGGGATCCAGGAAACAGCACTAAAACCAAGATCAAGATTAACTTTATTGTCCTACAGAGTGGGAAATTTGTCTTGGGCCAATGGTTCAAGTCATATCTGGGAAATATAAATGTCTCTGTTAATGTGGGGAAGTGCTTCTTCTTCCTCCTCAGCCCCCTTTACCTCATTGGTTCCTCAGGGCGCTGTTTATGCACCTCTTCTCTTATCTTATCTTGTCTCGTCTCGTCTCGACTCTCTTTATGCTCCCACTGGGTCCCCTCATTAGGAAGTACAGCATCTCTTTCTGTTGTTTGGTGGATGATACCCACCTATATCTCCAACTAAAAAGCCCCAGCCTTCGGTCTTCGTAGCTCCTGTTTCACTGTCCCCAGGTCATTAAAGACCGAATGTCCCAAAACTATTTGATGCTAAATGAGCTGAAAACAAAAGTGGTTCTCTTTGAATCCACCGGGACTCAGCCCAGACTTTGCCCACTGTCATCCTCTGTAAAATCATATGCAAAAAAACTTGGGATAATTTTTGCTTCTGCATTTAAGCTTGATGCCTGAGTCTAGAAGAGGCAGCTTTTTCCAGCTGTGAGCCTTAGCGAAAGTGAAACCCTGTTTTTATTATTCCAAAATTGTAAAAATGTAAACCATGCTTTTATGACCGCTTGCTATGGGAGTCAGTCAGTCTTCACTCTCATGTCTGCAATATGTGCAGAACACTGCTGCGAGGTTGTTAAGTAGTTCCTGTAAATGTGAGCATATTTCCCCTGCACTCGCCTCCCTCTGCTGGCTCCCTGTCAGTGTTAGAGTTCATATTAAGACTTTATTATGCGTTTAAAAGCACCTTAGAGATTGGCTCCCTTTTACTTATCTGACCTTTAAACTCCCCACACCCCACCCAGGTCACTCAGGTTTTCTGACTAGTCACTTATGGTCATCCCTCAAGCTCGGCAGAAACTCAGGGGCAACCGCGCCCTCTCAGTCTCAGGCCCCAGTCTGCCCCATTGCATAAGACAAGGGTGTCCAAACTTTTTTGAGTGGGGGCCAGTTCAATGGTATGAAAAAACCTGGGGACCAGCTGCTTCTCACATTATAGGGGATATTAAAATAATCACATACAAATTTAACAAACACAACAGTTTCATCGTCCGTTGAAAAAGTATTCAGCTTTCCTTCGTTCCTGAAAGCAGTGGTCCTCACTGTCGACTTAACGCTTCTTTCTTCCTTTGTTTGTTTATCATCTCTATAAAAACACACTAGTTCTGCCCACGTAGTTCCTACTTGCTGCTTGACAACAAACTGATTTATAGTCCTGCCATGAGTGGAAAAACTGGAGAAAAAAAATGCAGAGTAAACTTGCTTGATTAACCAATATTGTAAAGCAGGTCACATATAGTGTATTTTGAAAGACAAGCCACAGGTCATTTAAAATCTGTCTGAGCCGGGCTGGACTTTGGACGTGTCTGATATAAGATTTTCCCCCTCTACTGAGTCACTCAGCTCAAGACCCACCTTTTTTCTTTAGCTTTTAAATACACATTAATTGCTGTGACTAATTTGCCTTCTATAATGGTTGTTTACTAGTTCTGCCTGGTATTATTTGTATTTTGTTGTCTGCTCTCTTGACCTGTTTTTGTGCTTCATACATTTGTAGAACTTGTGTTGTTGTTTAATGACTTCGAAAGAGGAGAATATTAACTGAAAGAAATTAATTCTTTGACAATGTCTGTTTCCACCCAGATGGATCCTCTTACCACCAGCGTAGCCTGCGGCGAGGGTGGAGCCGTTGCCGTATCCCCTCCGACCCCATTCTCCACCCGGGAGCAGAGGGGCGCTCCCGACGCTCGCGGTCCGACCGTCCTCGGCTGGACACCCTGGACTGGAGAGGCGAGAAAGACAGGGACAGCCGGGGCTCCGCCAACACCTCCTCACTGACCCTCCAGCTGGGCCACTACAAACACGAAGACTCCTGCTCCACGTGCTCTTCATCCTCAGACTCAGAAGAAGAGGGCTTCTTCCTGGGACAGCCTATTCCTCTTCCTCCGCAGCTCAGGAAGCAGCAACCTGAGGCGAGCAAAGACAGAGAGGAGGAGGAGGAGAGGGAGGTGCAGAGAGACAGGGGACTGAGGGGCAGCATACGGCGGAGGAGAGCTCACAGCCTTGGTGCAAAGGACAAAGATAAAAACTGTGCTATCTCCTAACCCCCAACATCAAAACATAGCATGCTATTTTCTAAATTATGGTGCACAAGAAGAACTGATGGTCCTTCATTACTCTGGTATTCAAGCTGTTTATCAGTTTCATGATGGTGACATAGAGTTCAACACACAGCCATTGTTCCTGACACACTACAGCAACAGAAGCACAATGAACCTCAGAGAAGTCACTACGTTTAGCTTCACGGTATTGACATGTTACAGTGTAAAAATGTGAGTGTATGAACCGTGTGAATAAGTGATGAATGTGGAGTGATTATTGTTGTAACATCCAAACGAGGACTCACACCTGTGTCGCAGTTTATTTGAACACAACCTGCCGTGACCCTGAAGTGAAAGGCTCTTTAACATCACCTTGATTTACATATGCAAACTTTCAGTAGCATGTATGACCAGGAACTGACAGCTCATTCCTCCATCGTGGTTTGGAACAGGAATATTAAATATATCTTATGTTTAACTCCACTGTAACCATCTTTATGTGCTCTTATGTGCAATTTTTATACAGCTGTAATATATTACAGTTATGAAAACTGAATGGCCAAAATATTACTGTCAAAGTATCACACAGAGGAAAATATGAGTACATTTTTAGAGGTTAAAGGGACAGTTCACCCCAAAATCAAAAATATATATTTTCACTCTTGTAGTGCTGTTTATCAGTCTAGATTGTTTTGGTGTGAGTTGCCGAATGTTGGAGATATCAGCCGTAGAGATGTCTGCCTTCTCTCCAATATAATGGAACTAGATGGCACTTGGCTTGTTGTGTTCAGAGTGCCAAAAAAAAACATTTGAAAATCTTTCTACTGAACTACACCCGCCAGCCTTATCCCCATGCAGAAAGAAGCATGTGTCTACTCATGGACAAGAGGCTCATGACAGCGTGAGATGAAAACATAATTGGTGTCCTTGGCTGAGCTGTAACTTTAGCTCAGTAGTGCTAGGTAAGGTAGCAGTAGATGCACGCTTCCTCCTGTGCAGTGATACAGTTGGCGGGTGTAGTTGGGTAGAAAGAAAATAGTTCCTGCATGAAACTGCTCACAACAAGGTCTGTGGATTTATCTTGAGTAACTGGGTCATGATTTCTGGAAAGAGACATTGATGTTGAGTTTTCAAAATGTATTTTGGTGCTTGTGACAGCAGGGCTGCAAATAACGATCTTTTTTTAAATTTTAATTTTAATTTTTTTTTTTTTATATATATATATACTTTATTAATCCCCGAGGGGAAATTCAATTTTTTTTTTCACTCTGTTTGTCAATTACACACAGGTCCGAACACACACATGCACAAACTGGACCTATACATGCACTAAGTGGAGAGATGTCAGAGTGGGCTGCCCATGACAGGCGCTCCGAGCGGGTGGGGGGTTTGTTGCCTTGCTCAGGGGCACCTCAGCAGTGCCCAGGAGGTGAACTGGCACCTCTCCAGCTACCAGTCCACGCTCCATATTTTTTTGGTCCGGACGGGGACTTGAACAGGCGACCTTCAGTTCCCAACCCAAGTCCCTATGGAGTGAGCTACTGCCGATTAATCTGTTGATTATTTTCTCAATTAATCGATTAGTTGTTTGGTTTATAAAGTGTCAGAAAATGGTGAAAAATGTCTATCAGTGTTTCCCAAATTCCAAGATGATGTCCTCAAATGTCTTGTTTCATCCACAGCCCAAAGATATTCAGTTTACTGTCATATAAGAGTAAAGAAACCAGAAAATGTTCACACAAAAGTAGCTGGAATCTGAGGATTTGGACATTTTTTCTTTAAAAAATTACACAAACTGATGAATTGATTAGTTGCCAATTGAATAAATAGTTGACACCTAATTGATGAATCATTGCAGCTCTACCTGAAAGTGCGAGATCTAAACATCAATGGCGTCCTCCTCAGCTGAGCTGTAATGTTAGCTAGCTCAGTGGTGTTAGGTGAGCTAGCAGGAGATGCACGCTTCCCTTAGTGCAGTGATAGAGTTAGCGGGTATAGTTCAGAAGAAAGAAAATATTTCCTACATGAAACTGCTCACAACAAGATCATTGGATTATCTTGAGTGACCAGGGGTCTCATTTATGCTTACATTGCATACGTATTTAACGAGGCCTGAAAGAGCCGTTTGCCACTTCCCACGGAAAAGTTGGGATCTATAAAAACAGACTTGATGGGAGAAACTTTGACCCATGCTTACGAATACTTTGGGGACGTGAAAGTGGTGACACAGATGGTGAAGTGGAAGCCTGATTGTAGATTTTTTTAAATATTTTTTGATGCATGCTGTTTTTGGCTTTTGTTCCTACGTATATTTTTAATATGGATCACACTACACACTGTTTTATAAATTAGACCCTTGGTCATGATTCCTAGTAAGAGACATTGCTGTTGAGCTTTTCAAATGTGTTTTCTAGCGTTTTGAGCACCACAAGCTGAGTGCCATCTAGTTTTATTATATTGGAGAGAAGGCAGATATCTCCAACACTCGATAGCACCAAAACAGTGTAGACTGATAAATAGCATGACAGGTAAGAGTAAAAAATATGTGTTTTGATTTTGGGGTGAACTTTACCTTTAATTTTGTTTCTGTGTCCAAACAAAATACTGCAACATTTGTATATATTCATGTCTTTAATCAAAAAACACTTGTATGACTTTAAGGTCATTTATTTTTATATCCTTGGTGTAGGTCGCTGTTCTTTTTTGTTTTATTTCGGGCAAAAAGAAAAGATTAGAACTTCTGTTTCTCTGACTTTGTGAGACAACTTTACGTTGACATTAAATTTGTCTAAACTGTTTGTCTTGCTGTGTACTTCTTTACCTCCACACTTTACACATAACTCAACATCCAACCTTTGACCAGCTGTAAGTGTGTCAGCAGTGCAGATCAACTATGATACCAGCAAACAGAAAGTCCTTATCACATAACCAGCAGCATGTAACAATAGCAGGGTCACGTGACTAAAGAGAAGTTGGTTTGTATCCTTGTTGGCGACAGATTGGACCAATCAGGAGGAAGGGGTGGGCTCAGGAGGCGCACACATGAGTTGTCAAACAGGTTTGTCTTGAGCTGGTTAGTCCTCACCAACGCTTTCACACAGATTCACCTCAGCAGGACATCACTGTGTGTACGCTGGACTCAAACTAGAAACCCAGGAAGGGTTCAGGAGATCAGCAGGGACTGTCAAGGTGAGTTTTCTGTAGAAATACCAGACTGTAAGATAAAACTCAGCAGCTAACCCACACCTTCATACAGGCAAAGCTGAGCTTGTCAGGACAAGACTTGGTGGAGGCCTTGAGTACATGTGGGACATTTTTTCTGTTGTTTACCTGCCTCTCTTTGTGTCTCTGTGTCATCAGTCTTCCTGCTTCGCTCCATGTTTGTCATTTACCTTCAGTGGCTCAACTTGCTGGCACTTGACCCAGAAACTTTAAATTAGTGGCTCTATTTTGGCTTGTCTGACTCAACTCTTGACATTCCTCTGTGCTTTGTCACACACCAGCCTGTTGCCTTTTAACCATATATATCACACTGCTGGGTGTCCTCACTGGTGGTGCACTTTGTTTTTGTGAAGTAGGGGAGACTTCAGGTAAAGATTGGAGATACAGAAAGTCTCACGGCTCTATCAGCAGGAGTTTGGCCCGGCTCAGACTGGAATGGCAAATATGTGGAGAATGTGACTGGCCGATGCCGACTATTTCAAACGCACATGGTATCTTAAGTGTATACTAGTGCTTGCATTCACCAAGTTCATTATTATGGACTCCACCACAGTTTGAGGCTTAAAGGGTAACATTGGTATTTATTTCTAAACCTGGGCCCATTTTCCCATGTTTGATGTCTATAAGTGACTAATAGAATCAACTAATTTTGAAATGACTTCAGTATGGGGCGAAAGCACAGCAGCTGGCAGCAGCCAAACAGACTGCAATCTAACCACTCAGGGCATTTGTGCTACGCCAATTTACGTCCATTAAAAGTGGTTGTTTTTGCCACTGACAAGCTCAGAGATAGACCTTTTTCTTAAAAGTAAGATTCTTTTTGTTCAACCAGAAACTGTGCCAAAATCTCTATTGGCAAACTCACCAGACTCCATTTAAATAAACATGATTTGTAGCATGTGTAGAGCCAGCATATTTATATATCTAAAGCTGCTTCCCCACTGGACAAAAAAACCAAAACACTAAAACCTGCTAACATCTGGCTGTTGTCTTCATTGGTGAAGGTTACAGTCAGCATTCACTCACAGGGCAGTTGACTCCTGTAGTCACCAGGTGACCAGGAAGTGCGCTGGGCTCTGAAGCCTTTTTTTGTAGTTGCCTAACCGTAGTACTGCAAGTTCCGGGTTCCATTACATGACGCCCCCTGTCCCAGAAAGACTTTATCCCATTGACTGACATTATGAAAGAGATGCGTGAATAAAATCTTTGAGCGAAATGACTTATTCCACGATCGTGATTTGATCCATTCGGTCTGATAACACTTTGAAAGTCAAGAAGAGCTGCGTGATTAAATCATTTTGTCACCATTCAAGTTAGCGGAGCTCTAAACTGGAAGTTACCCATTCAGCTAGTGGAAGTTAGCCGCTCTGTCACACTTGGCTGGCGTAAGTCTCTAGTGCGTATGCTCTATGGGCTGCACAGTGCGGAAGTAGGTCCAGTAATCTTAGGATCATCCTGCTACTTCTACACTCGCCAGTTAAACCATTATGGCTTCATGCACCACTGAGCAACTCTCATAGGAATGTACGGGGCCCTGCTTTCAATGCTGTATCCAGTTCTCATAATACATCCATGGTAGTCATGTCTCAAGTTCCGATGATTCCGATGGTGGCCGCACAAATTTTAGCCCTTTGCTGGTGCAATGCAATGACGGGCAGCCAAAAAATACCATCCGTCTCTGTCCAAGCAGTGCTCATTAAAAAAGGTGGTCAGCTTTAAGTTTGAAGGACAGACTGAATTACTAAGAGATGTAAAACATAAGTAACCACCTCCAGGCCTCCATGCGGCTTTCTGCTGTTTACTAGAGACATCCATCGCTGCAGACACATTCTGTTTGTGGCCTTACACACACCCTGACAAACCGCACTCACCACCAGTATGAGACACACCCATCAATGCAATGGTTATCTGAACCCTGCTACAACACAAAGTTGTAGTAAACAAAAATGGGGCCAAACAATGGAGTAAACAACTTTATCGAGATGTAACCCTGACCCTATCCTCAACTGTAGCTCTTTTAACCTGACGCGTCATAGCTAGCTAAATGCCAACTTAGGAATGGTGGGCAAGTCATCTATCTGCTGCAGCTATACCTCCTCACTTTACTAAGCTGTTTTCTGGCCCGTCCATGATGCTGAATGCAACATACCAGAGAAGAAAAAGAGAAAGGTATACTCGTCGACTGCAGAGCTGAGTACACGGCTCTGGTACACTTACAGTGGGAAAATAGTCTATCGCCTTTTTTTAACGGGTTTTCCAGTGTTTAAAAAGCTTGCATACACTTGATCCTTAAAACTGGGTGAATTTAAAGAATTATTTCAACCAAACTAGAGCTGGTGAGTGTTAGAACAGTGGAAAAATTAACCAAGATGGGTTTTGTGAGGTTTTTATTTATTTATTTATTTATTTATTTATTCGTCGACTTTGAATGAAGTGTCTTTTACGATGATAAAATTATTGTATATTTAATTAGCGTCTGATGGGTTTGGCGATAGCGATTTCAAGGCTGTTCCCGGTTAAAGATAAAGAATGGTAGCCTTTAACCAAAAGGTCTATCACCGTAGGGATCCTTTCTATAACTTAAAATAATAATGTGAACCTGTCAGTGGTAAAAACAAACACTTAGTGGACATACATTCACGGTGCACAGTTGCCCGTTAACATACATTTGAGCTTGTTTCCTTGCTGCCCTCTCACTCATTACTGGACAAATTCCAAAAACTGTTGTCTCCATATGTCACTTAGACACGAAAACATGGGAAAACCAGGTTGAAAAATACCAAAGTTGCCCTTTAACACTGGACACAAACAGAGATGCTTAGTTCAGCCTCTTTGTTGTGACTTTACTTAACCTACAGCGGCTGGTAGTTGATGAAGTAGCCCGCTACAAACCCTGGCAACTGGCTGCTTTATTTAAAGATGAGGAGCCATTGTTCCCATAGCAGCTGTTGGTGTGTGTGTGATCTGCTCTGTATTGCCTCCAGACAATAGCTTGTTGACAGCTGTCCTGATGCACCTCCCCGACACACACACACACACTTGTGCCACTCTTTTCACAGGCCTTCTACTGACTGAAAATGAAGTGTCAGTTTTATTGTGTATGTGTCTGCGGAGAGATGGATGACTGAGTGTAATTGTTCAGATCCGTCGGTGCCAGCAGCCAATGAACTTGTAAGATGGAGACGGCTTCAAGCGGGTGATTGGCTGCGGTTTTAAAGACAGGGGAGGGTTTATGGGTGTAGGTGTCTTTGTGGGGTTGGCTGCATCCTGTGTGTGTTAGAGTCTTAAAAGTGTCTGAAGAAGACGCTTGTAAGGTAAATGTTTTATTGGTTGTTAATCTGAGTTCTGTATTGAGTTGTCTGCCTCCTGAGTGACGTGTCTCTCTTCCACAGGACATCCAAATGTCTGGAGTTCAACTGAGATGCTGAGCTTACGTCTCTTGGAGCTGATCATGAGGCAGCACACAGGAGATTTATTTCAAGGTGAGAAGAAAAGGCTGTGAGAAAAAAGTTGTAAACAGGAAGTGCACAAGGACAGGTACGACTTACAACCATGCCTTGGGAAACTCAACACCCAGCGAGGCAGCCGGCGAGGACTGCTGCAGCTGCTACGCCCCCTCGCTTGCGGCCCAAGGGTCCAGTGGGGCCAGACTTTTACCAGCAATTCAAGACAGCAGCAGGCAGACCGAAGCAGAGTGCGGTGGAGAGGCTGGAAGCAGACAAGGCTAAATATGTCAAGAGTCAGGTGGCTCTTTCTAAACAGCAGCCGGTCAGACCTCCTGAAGTGCGGAAACCTCTTCTGAACCCCAGCACGGCTCTGCGGCCCACCAGGAAGATACTGACCCAAACAAAACCGAAGCAGGAGGGTGTCCAGCTGGACTTGGAGCATCTGAGTAACCTGATAAGTGGTGTGAATGATTCAGTGACTGTGAACTCAGGGGACAGTGACACTCCTGATGGTGCTGTCACTTCACACAGCTCTCCTCGCCCCACACCTTTGGGGGCGCCACAGAAAAAGGAGAGACCGTGTCCTCCTCCTCGTCCTGACTGGTCCAGTCCAGCTAAGGTGAGATTAAAAGCCTCTGGACCTGCCCGAGTAGAGAGTCCCGGGTCTCCTGGAGGTCCAGCTGCAGGGACTGTACGCAGAGTGGACGTCATGCCTCAGGCCAGCCCTGCGAGAACGCCCTGCAGACCACCTCAGTACATGCGACAGCCCCTTCAGCCGATACCTCTTCACCCCCAGTTTCCACTCCGCCCAGCAACTTCACACCTGCATCTCTTCCACACCAGAACTACACCGCGCCCTTCTCCTCTGAAACCTGTCGTTGCTGCACCTAAACCCGACGAACTTCCCTCCAGTCCAGCTGAACCTCCTGTCCCTTCTTCACCTGCCTCCAACCTCCCTGTTTTCCCTCCTCCCTCCCCAGCGATCACCCGTTTGTCCTCCACCAGCTCCAGGAAGCGCCCCTCTCTGACCCGCTCTAAATCAGACATGAGTGACCGCTGCTCCCGAGCCGGGACGGAGCTGGAGCGCTTTTTCAACCTGTGTGGTTTGGACCCTGCAGACCTGCACCAGCTGACTGGATCTAGTTCTGACATTGTTTCCATGGCCCGTTTCCGTAGTGTGAGCGCTCCAGGGTCTGAGTGTGCAGGCTCTGGTAAAGAGGGTGAGGATGACGATGAGGAGGATGCTGGCAACGCTGCAGAGCGGGTTCCCTACGGTGTTTCTGTCATTGAGAGAAATGCAAGAGTGATTAAATGGCTGTATGGACTCCGTCAGGCCAAAGACAATGTAACTAAGAGCACCAATTTATAGGACGGTGTTAAAGGAATACTCCACCTACAACATGACAAACGTTTTTGTCACAGGCCTCCATGTAAAATGGCGAACATATTGATTCACTGATTGGTTAAGGACACATGTAACAACAGCAAAACTATGTCCCTGAACTGTTCGCTGAACGTGAAAGTTACCTGTGCTCTCTTCAAGGTCAGACGCATTTGGGAAGTACCGAGCATATGACTGGATAAATCAGACTTGGATTACACTGCAGGAGTTGTGTGAGAGTTTATAAAGAGAGGTTAAATTTTGCTGTTGTTAAACGTGTTTAAGTCTTCTTCATGAAGTCAAGGCATGACTTTAACCTATAAGATTTAAAACTCAAGTAAAAATTCCAGTGTCAATACTGCAAAAACACACTTGTTTTTTTGTTTTTTTTTTGATTCTTTTTTATTTTTACTTGACAAAATGTTTATTTGACCAAACATTTTTGTTGTTGAGAAACAGGAAGGGTTATTTTTACTCTGAAAGTCTTTAATTTTCTTGTTATTTTGACTTGAAATGTTCTCTTTTGTGTTTTTCATAAATGGGATGTGGAAGTTTCATCTCTGGTCATGATCACGTTAATGAACGGCATTAAAGGTTGAATGATGAAAGCATCTTGTTTGGTACTCAGTGAGTTTATATTACAGGGATACATGTATTTCCTCAGAGGGAACAGAACACATGGTGTTTATATGTAATCACAGGTCCATATTATAAGCCTGCATAAACGTCATTAACTTGTGGAATTGCTTTGAGATTATTCTTCTTTTTGTTGATCTTGTGTCAGGCAGGAAGAACAGGATCAGCAGGCTTCATTTGATGGAGGAAAGTTTCACTGCTGTTCCACAAGAGGTCAGAACAGACCGTACTGACGATCAGTGCAGGAACATCTGTGATTTCTTTCTGATAGTCCACTGAAAACTGTGATCTCTTTTCCTACAACACAACACACACACAAAGACACAGATACACATATGGATAGAAAAAATAGGTAAAAAAAATACATAAAAACATAATAAAAAAACACAGCAGTGAAATGACAAGCAGTCTTGTCCCAGGACTACTATAGAGAGCTGTTACTACAGTAGATATGCATATGATAGTAGTGCAAATGTGTGGTTGACAGTGCAGGTGAATATTGAAATAAATACAAAAGTAAAGAGGGTGTACATATCTAAAGGAAATGTAAATGCAAATTTTGCATGGTTAACATTATCAGTAACTGAGAAACAGTCCAGCAAACTAAAGACATGAGTGTTGAGTGAGTTCAGTCCGTTCCAACCTGCCATGTTCAAGAAACCAGTTTGAGATGATGTGAACTTTGTGACATGGTGCGTTACCCTGTTGGAAGTAGCCATCAGAAGATGGGTACACTGTGGTCATAAAGGGATGGACACGGTCAGCAGCAATACTCAGGTAGGCTGTGGTGTTTAAACCATGCTCAGTTGGTACAAAGGGGCCCAAAGTGTGCCAAGAAAATCTCCCCCACACCATTACACCACCACCAGCCTGAACCGTTGATACAAGGCAGGATGGATCCATGCTTTCATGTTGCTTACACCAAATTCTGACCCTACCATCTGACTTGATGAAATACTCAGACCAGCCCGTCTGGCACCAACAACCATGCCATGTTCGGTGTCACTTAAATCACCTGTCTTCCTCATTCTGATGCTCATTTGAACTTCAGCAAGTCGTCTTGATCATGTCTGCATGCCTAAATGCATTGAGTTGCTGCCAAGTGATTGGATGATTAGCTATTTGTGTTAACGAGCAGTTGAACAGGTGTACCTAATAAAGTGGCCTGTGAGTGTACATAATAATAATGAGTTAAACAGCCAGTTCATTCATTCATACTGTGAATACGAGCATATGGGCTGGATAACAGCTCCTCCCTTTTAAAGACATAAAGAAGTTGTTCAACCAGATATCAGTGTCAAACAGGTGGGACAGAGCACAAGTGTGTGTTTGTGTGTGGAGAGAGCTACTGTTGTGGGATACATGCAGTGGAAAATTGTAATTGAATGTTGGCATGTGGCGTGATTCCTCCTGACTTCAAAGGATGAGCTGTCTTAAGAATTTTACAACTCAAGTCCAGACATTTAGGAATCGGTTATTAACACAGGCTGCAGATAGAAACTCACACAGTGACGGTCAGCAGAGGGTAAGTAATCAAATTAAATATTTCTCTCTCTGCTTTTGTATTTATATTAAAAACAGGACAGTAAAATAATCATATTTTCAGGGCAGATTTTTTAGGAGCAGTTTGTAATATTTCAGCTAGTTTTTATTTCATGTCATGTTCTTTCTCTCAGATGTGACCCACAGATGATTGTGTTGTCCTTTCCTGGAATGTTTTGATGCCTTTTTTGTCAAAGTAGTACTTAATAGAATTAAATGGTAAATGCACTGCACTTGAATAGCACTTTTCTAATCTTTCGACCATTCAAAGCAGTTTTACGCTACATGTCACATTCACTCATTCACACACACGTTCACACACTGATGGTTGTGGCTACCTGCTGGCTACTCAGTAACCATTTACATGCACTCGCATACCAATGGAACAGCCATTGGGAGCAGTTTAGGGTTGCATACCTTGCCTAAGGATACGTTGACACATGGGCTGGAGAAGCTAGGGATCGAACCACTGATCTTTTGATTAATGAACGACCCATTCTTCCCTATGAGCCACAGCCGCCCCTAACTGCTAATGGATGGTGTCACTGGGACCTTGGTTGCCGAGTGGTCAAAGCACATGCCACATTACGATAATATTGTGAATTCAATTCCAGCTTTGGGACTTTAATTGCATGTCATACTCCTCTATCTCCCCGTTTCCAATCTTTGCTGCCATCTGTCAAATACAGCCAAAAATACTCCAAAAAAATCTTTAAAAAAAGGCGATGATGTCTTTCCATTCAGAATGAGAATCCCACCCACACTGAGGGGGCTCCATCCACAATGGAAATACAGAAACACAAAGTGAGCTGGGTTGAGCCGAATCATTCAGTGGAAATGAGGCATCTGACTGACAGAAACCACCCAACATGCCATGCCCAGTTTGTAACAAGATTCTTTTTGTTGTATTTGTTCCCATCTCCGTTTACACCATAAATGAGCCGACACAAGAGAACCAGATTTCTCTCCAAGAAGATCTGAATAGAAGAAATTTCATTTGAATTCTGATTTTTAAATGTTGTTCAGCCCACACTTTTACAGTGTGAAAACTAAAGAGAAGTGTGTGAACAGAGCTGTTGGCAGAAGTGCATCAAAACAGTGAGAAAAACTGTACAAACACAAAATCAGGTAAATGTTTGAAGAGACTATTTAATAGACGACAGAAATATTCCCTGTTGGTTCTTCTCTTTGGTCTTCTCAGGGGTCGGAGGGGATTCCTCTGGCCAGGAAGGTGTGTTATGCTGTGGGTGGGGTCCCAAATCAGATGACCACAGTGGCTATCGGTGTTTCCCTGCAGATATTCCTTCTGGATGTTGTGCAGGTATGTGTTAATGCTGCCTTACAAACATGACCACTGATCTGTATTTGTTACTACACCAACCTAACTGGATTTCAAGATAAAGTATCTCAGTTTATTTCACAGATGCAGGCCTCCTATGTCTCCATGATTCTGTTTGTGAGTCGGGCCTGGGATGCTGTGACCGACCCTCTGGTTGGATATCTGGTTGGTTGCAGTCACTGGACACCCATCGGCAAACTCACTCCATGGTTGGTTGGTTGGTGGAGGGCAGGCGCATGTTTAACACACTTCATATTGAATTAGGCTGCGATTCATCCCCCGGCGCCGTGTTCAACAGAGCCAACAATGTTTATCCCACAGGCTGGTTCTCTCCACTCCATTTGGTATCCTCTTCTATCTGCTGCTGTGGTTTGTGCCACAAGGATCGATGTCTCAGGCTCTCAGCGTGCTGTGGTTCCTCACAGTGGCCTGCCTGTTTGAGACCCTCATGAGTGTAAGTGTTGCAGGCACTTCCTCCTTTCTGGTACACTGTTCTGTGTCTGGTACACTTAAAATCTCAATCCCCTCTTTTTTACCATCAGATTACAAATTATAACGAAATTTACAAAAAAAACCAAATACTTGAACACCCATCAGCGTGATAAGAACTACTCAAAATAACAGAAACCATCTTTGGGAAAAATTTATTTGATGCATACTTGAAGTTTTTAGTTTGGCCCATGTCCCAACAAGAAGGGGGCAGGGTTTATGACCTGTACTGCAGCCAGCCACCAATCAAGTTTTGGCTTCACTTGAGGTGCTTTCATGTCGTCCATCTTTATATACAGTCTTTAAATATCTGTGGAGAGCCGGTCCTCATCCATGGAGATCACCATGTTGCACCACCATTTTTCTACAGTAGCCCTAAATGGTCAAATCCATCACGGGTTTTAGATAGAGCCATTTGTATTTTTGTGTCTGTAGTTCGCACTGAGCACTGAAGGAATTCCAACCAGGAGAAGTTTCAGCTGGTGGGAATCTGCAATCAGTACTGCTAGTAACCACTAAATCCCCCTAAATCTAACACACTGTTCCTTAAAAACGATCTCCGCCATAAATAGTTACATCAATAAAATGTTGCTTATACCTTATTGGTGCTTTTAGTTTCGTAAAAAAATAAAAAATTTGAGTACTTTTGCTTGTAGCCATTTCTTAGTCATCTATCCACCATCTTGTGCTTCGGGATACTTTTGCCCTCTTCATCTTCCTCATGTCACCATGGTGACAGAATTTCATACTTGTCTTGTGGCACTGTTGCCGCTGCCATTTTGCTCCAAGCTGTGTCACCATGGCTACAGAGTTTCACACTGCTCATGTGCTGTTGGTGCTGGTGTCATATTTTCCCATGTTGTCCATTAACAGTGCTACAACATTCCTTACCTCTCACTCAACATGTTCCTGGGGGGAGATCACAGAGACAGAGACTCTGCCACGGCCTACAGTAAGAGCACAGATACTCACAATCGCCTCTGATCGTTGTTCCCAGGTCGAACAAATGTAGAGGAGGATTTCCCTCTGATTCAACACATATCTTACGTCTTGGATTGTACATTTACTCAGTCGGAATAATTCTTCCTTCACTGCACTCATTGTCTCTCTTATCTGTCCATCTTTGACAGGGATGAGTATAGAGATGGTGGCCATGCTGTTAGCTTCTGTAATGCAGGGTCAAGTTGTAGCTGTTTACAACACAGAGAAGCAGGAGGCCTGTCAACATCTGGACCAGGCTCATGAAACAACACCTGAAAGCACATCGTCACCACAGACTGCACCACTTCAGGAAACGGTTGATAAAATGTGAACATAAAAGTTGTCACTCCGGCAGAGATAACGCTCATATTTCTTTAGCAGCCCAGCAGCATTGCTTCGGCATTGTGCTCACTCAGTCCCAGGGGTATCTCGTTACCCTGTAATTAAGTGCTCCTAGCTTAAGGTAGGCTTTGTTGTTCATAAACCAAGTGTTGTGTGTTCATCTTATTGTCTCTGTGTTCTCAGTGTTGAGAGCGAACAGATTGGATTTAATGGAGAGTTAGATAAACCTGAAGTGTATTTGCAAAAATAAAGCATTACAGTGAATTTAAACTAGGTAGGTAATCAAGGGGATTTATGTCAGACTAAAGGCATATTTTGTCATATTTCACATACCTGCCAAGAGTTAGATGAGAAGATGACTTTCATATTTGTCCATGGAATAAAGCTAGTGCCAGGAAATAGGTAGTTTAGCCTAGAATAGAAACTGGAGAAACTGGTCAGTAACAAAATCCATCTAGCAGCACCGGCTCGAAGGCTCACTTTTTAACACATTATATTATTAAAATTATTATTATATTTGACTGTTACAAAAACTGAGTGCTGGTGGGCTGATTGTTGCTTACAAAGTCAGGTTAGCTGCTTCCGCCCAGTTTAATGCTAATAAGCTACCCGCTGGAGCCAGTGACAGTTATCCTAGCCTAGCATAAAAACTAGAGTAGCTAGCTAGCCTGGCTCTGCCTTTTGCTAACAAAATCCACTATGAAAACTTGTAAAGCTCACTGATTAACACAATATATTACTTAACATAATTCATATTAGATTAGCACAAAAACCGAGTGCCAATAAGCTAATTATGTTACCTACACACTGTATCAGGCTAGCTGCTTTACCAAGTTCATATGCTAATAATAAGCTAACTGCTCGAGCCAGTGACCGTTATCTTAGCCTAGCATAAAAACTAGATAAACCAGCTAACCTGGCTCTGACCATTGGTAACAAAATCCGCCTAGCAGCACTTCTGAAGCTCATAAATTAACTCATAATATCATATAGAAAAATGATTATTTAATTTGTACAAAAACAGAGCATCAGTGGGCTAATTTTGTTATCTTTAAACCGAGTCAGACTAGCTGCGTCCGCCAAGTTTGCTATGCTAATAAGCTAACCGCTGGAACCAGTGGCATTTATATTGGCATAGCCTAAAACTATAGGAACAAGCTAACCTGGCTCTGCACGTTTGTAACAAAATCTGCCTATCAGCACCTAATTAACACTTTATACTATTTAGAATAATTATTAATTAATTTGTGCAAAAAACGAGCACTGATAGGCTAATTTTGTCATATATACACCAAGTCAGGCTAGCTGCTATCTTTATGCTAATAAACTAACTGCTGGATCCAGTATGGACCCAGCATATAAACTTAAGGAACTAGCTAGCTTGCTCTGTCCAGTGGTAACAAAACCTCTAATGCTCACTAATTACTCTAATTTTATTATTTGATATCAATTATATTTATTTCATAGGCCTACAAAAAGCAGTGTTACTGGGTTAATTTTGCCACCCAACAAACCGAGTCAGGGTGCTTCTCCCTAGTTTTAATGCTAACAAGCTAACCATCATTAGCTTTAGTCCATATTTTATGCTAGCTAATGAATTTATGAGAGTGGTATCAGTCCTCTAATCTCAATCTCGGCAAGAAAGCAAATATTTTTGTATATTTAATGATGATTAATAATCATGAAAAAGTTGATAATGATGCTATAAATCATTACTTTAAGTGGAATGACTTGACACGATCTAATGCTAAAGTAATCCAAAAAATATCACATAGCTAACGTTTACAGATTAAGTCAAGTCACTTATTTATATAGCACATTTAAAAACAGCAGGAGTTGAATCAAACTCCTTTCCAGATGAAGTAGTTTGTTTACACAGGTTTACATGATTAAATAAGTAAAAGGTATGTAATGCAATAAAAACAGTAACAGAGAAGGCAGGACTAAAATTAAAAGGCTTAAACAACTCACATCATAAAAGCACGAGCAAGTAAAGAAGAGAATAAAAAAACTGGTAAGAGTTAAAGAGTTAGTGTTAAAAAGGTAAGCCTTAGGCTGAACTAAAATTGTCAGGGGTGGATGACTTAAAGTGGGACGGGAGCCTGGGAGCGGCAACAAAACTCTTGGTCACCTTTGGTTTTGCAGCATGAGTGAGGGACTAATAATAGTTGTTGTGAGGATGACCTCAGTGACCTAAAGGGAAAAGAATGAAATTCGCAAATTGGTAATGTATTTAAGGCAATTAAAACAAATACCAGGATTTTAAAATCAAATCTGTATTTCACTCGTAACCAATGCAAGTGAGGAGGAACAGGAGTGATGTGTTGTGGTTTCTTTGTTCCAGTTAAAGTTGGAAAGGTTAGAAAGGGTGGAGTGGGGCAGCCATAAATACATACAATGAATTATGTTAATCAAGCCAAGAGGTGATAAAAGCATGAATAACTGTTTCCAGGTCCCAATTGGATAAAAAAAAAAAAGCTTTAAATTGGCTAGAATTCCAAGCTGATAAAAACACTTAGCACTAGTAACACTTTATAAGATCTGTTTACATGTGTTTGCATGCCTCTGGGCATGTGTTTGTTGGCAACATAATATTGTGCTTTATTTATCTTTAATTGTTTGTTGTGTGTATCCCCTCCACCCCACCCTCCAGCAAAAGGCTTTCCTGACCTCAGCTCTGGTCATGGGTGCCTTGTTTTTCCTCTGTAGCCTGGTTCTATTCCTCGGGGTGAAGGAGCAGCGGGGTGAGTCATTCACAAGTGGCCAGTAGTCAATGCTCAAATACTATGAATAAAACATATTTCTGTAGTTCGGCTGCTTGACTGTGTTCCATTACTCCATCCAATATAAAGCAAATGAGAGCCTTACCCTTTAACTAAAGTTCATCAGTAATGTGAGTTGAGTATATTATTTCTGACATTTTACTCCCCTTCCCTGACATCTAATTTTGGTTTTATTTGCAGCCCCTCTCTGCTCTGATGACAAAGTGCGACCATCCTATCTGACCTCGCTGAAGATGCTGATATGTCACGTTTCCTACCAGCGGCTGGTGCTTGGCTTTGTCTTCAGTGTACTTGCATTTCAGGTGCCGAACTTGGTTTTGTGCTTTTAAAAATCATGCATTTATGTAAAAGTTATCAAAGCATAATGTATGTTTACTTCTTGTCCCATGTCTCTTTCATCTCAGATGTCCTTGGCTAATTTTGCACTTTTCTGCAGCCATGCAGCTGGACTGGGAGCCCAGTTCCAGCACCTCCTACTGGTTCTACTGGTAAAATGCATCTAACTATAATCACGCACTCTGCTCTCCAAGATGTTTATATATGCAACATTTCAGTCTTCTAATGATTCCACAAAGTGCATGACTAAAAGACAAGACGCATTTTGAATGTCAAATAAATGATCTCAATATTTCCACAGGCCTCTGCCTCAGTAGCAGTTCCCCTGTGGCAAACAGTTCTCCTGAGAATAGGGAAAAAGGCCACAGTTTTCATCGGATTATCAGTAAGATAAAAATAATCTAAATGATAACAGCTGTTTTCCACACTTTCAATCTTCCTCCTGCCTGTGAGGCCTGATTATGTCTCTCCCAGCTCTTCATCCCGGCAGTGATTATAGTCGCCTGTGTTCCCAGTAACCTGCCAGTGTTCATGATAATGTGCGTTCTGATAGGATTCAGCGTGGCAACCATATTCTTGCTACCCTGGTGAGTCAGCTCCCAGCGAGGACACACAGTTCTTAAACCTTTCCAAGACTGCCTGTCAGATCTAATCAGCATCAGAACTCTGTGTTGTGCACATGAATCATTCACATCGCCTCTACCTGACCCTGGATGCTGATGAATATTCTAGTGATGATCTGTTTTGTTGACTCGACAGTTCTCCTTATCTAAAATGACATGGTGGTTTTGATATGTGATATGTCGTCTTGTTCTGTATCTGCTACAGGTCCATGCTCCCAGATGTGGTGGACGACTTTGCCGTGAGACATCCGTCCTGCAAAGACCTGGAACCCCTGTTTTTCTCCTGTTATGCCTTCTGCAGTAAGCTGGCAGGAGGCCTGTCTGTTGGCATCTCAACCATGACATTACAGTGAGTCATTCTTCCGTCCAGTCACTTTAGATGTTATGGGTCGTACATCTGTTGATCCGTCACATTTTGTTTTCTCCTCGTCTGCAGGTTTGTGGGCTTCAGAGCCGGTGCATGTAACCATGGTGACGGAGTGGTGACGGCTCTGATTGTGCTGTTCTCACCAGTTCCCATCACACTTCTGCTGATAGGGATGGTGTTTTTTCGCTTCTACTCTATCAATGAGAGGCAATGTTTGCAGCTGACCACAGTTCAGTAAGTGATTTTATGGGTGAATTATCCCCTGAAGGGATGAAACCATAAATAGTTCCTGACATGTCATCTTTAAAGTGTCTATTATGGGGATTTTTACTATAAAATCAAGTGAAATAACGCTGTGAAAACAATGTGACCATTTGAAACGTGTCTCAGAAAATCCAACTGTACACTACCTGCTTAGCTCCAAACAGTCAGACAGACACAGTTAGAGACTAGTTGGTGAACATGGTGGAGAATTTAACAGCTGAAGAGCCAGATATTTTTCTCCCGGGTTGGTGGAGACCAAAAGCAGAGCTAAAACAGAGCGAATATTGGACTTAGATTCATCAGGTGTCCAGAAACACAACTCTGAATGACAGAAAATTTGTGTTGTCTGTGCCCGTTGAATGTGTAAATAAGTTTATTACCGTATATTCACTTAAAAGGTGATAATATGTCAGTATTGTGTTCACAACTTGTGCCTGCTGCCCCCAAGTGGCAGATTGGAGTTCACACTTAAAGGTCTAGATAATAGCAACGTGGTCATATCAAGTGGTGAAGTTGTTTTCCATAGTTTTGAATTATTCTTTTTTGTATATGTTAGCACTGCTACTTTGCTACAAGTCAACTGCATATTAGAGAAATTGTTTGACATTTTAAAAAATATCCTTAATGTCTTTTTTGCCAAGAGTTAGAGTGATGCAACAGTCATATCTGTAGGTGAACTGAAGCTACAACTTGGAGCTGGTTAGCATAGCTGAGCATAAAGAATGGGAACGGGGGAAGCATCTAGCCTTACTCTGTCCAAAGTTCAAAAATATCCCTAGGGCAACTCAAAACTGTTAAATATCTGTTCTGAAATAGCAGCTGAATGATAGCGGTTGGTCTAATTAATCTTCATTCAGCATATAGACCGAATCACCGTGATGTCACGCTAACAACAACAATCACTTCAGGTAGACAACAGGCTATTGATTTTAACTGCAGGAATATCAACTGGCAAACTTGTTTGTTTCTGTTGTCATTCTCAGCTGTAACTAAGATATATTCTTAAACACGGTGGTTCAACCTATCTGATGTTTGTCCTGTACTGTACGGGGTTGCTTTGCTAGCATTTTTGATAAACCAAATGTACCGCTTCAGAAGCTCAGCAATGTACTGCTGTGGACAGGGGCCACAGTAAAATGTATTTCAGCCACCTAAAAAATCTATCTAACTTTAAGTTAATGCTTTCTTTGGAGTGTTTTTTTTCCACTTTACCTTACACACTAACTGATGGAGGCAGCCAAGGACCAGCAACTCCCATGTTCTGTGAGGTAAAATCACTGTTTTTGTCAGTGGACTCTGGTGGCTTTGAGATAAACACAGCGTACACTTAAGCTGATATTGGCTTTAAGGTGGCTAAATACTAACCCATTGAGGCAGAGTTTGCTCAGCAACATTTCATTTGATGTATGTGACACATCTACCAAGATGTTGTAAGTGGATATTGTGATTTGGTCTAGATGCAAAGATTGTTCTCACTCCCTCATAATTAATAATATAGGTCTTTAGGGACATTGACCCTAACCCTGCAACACAACTTCCTAATAAATTATGTGAATTATCAAAGCACAATTTTCAAAAATGTTACAAAATTAATCAGATCACTGTATATGTAAGCAATAGCAAATTTATAGTAACATATATGCATGTTTTTTATGGCAGTAATTTTTCTCTTTTTAATCTTCATCTAGCCCTGAAGCTACATCATCCTCATCAGACCAAAGAGAAATCGCAGAGCAGCCATCAGTTCTGCAGCAGCCCTGTGATGGTGCGACATCAACTTCACTCTATAACACAAAGACTGACACATTGTACAGGTCACATTCCTCACCAGGTTCTTACAGTGATAAAAAAAGCTCAGTCAAGTCATCTTCCCTTTCAAATATATCAAAGAGCCACTCTGGAGAATACAGCAGGCCGAAATCAGTTATACAGTCAAATGTAAATCCTCAGTGTTATAAACAGAGACTCAGCCCACACCAGCAATCAGGACCAAAGAAAGTGGGCAGAAATGTTCCTGAGAGTGATCCTGGGTCTTTCTCCAGCAGGTCAAATGTTAGATCCAAAGTGTCATGGGTATAGTCAGATACCTTAAAGGTCCACTGTGTAAGATCTAGGGGGATTTAGTGGCATCTAGTGGTGAGGATTGCAGATTGCAACCAGCTTAAACTTCTCCTTATTAGAATTCCTTCAGTGTTCATTGTTCAGGAGATTTTTACCGGGAGCCGAATTATGTGCAGAGGTTTCTTCCTCTCCAAAACAAACAGATTGGGTGATTTAAACCAGTGCAAACACTGACTAAAGCAGTATCGTGGTACAAATCAGTGTTTCTCCTACACTGTTCGGCATGTTGCAGATGGGCTGCTAGCCTAGCTCCTGCAAATATGTGCTCACATTTTATTTGATCCAAATGTTCAGGAGGTTTTTGCCATGAGTTGAATTATCAGCAGAGTTCTCCTCCTTTTCAAAACAAACTGACCCTGTGATGTAAAATGGGAAAATTCTGAATAAAGCATTTTAGGTTTGAAACCAGTGTTTCACTTGGTCAAGCACCATGGGGTCCAGATTTCTCCTTAGTCATTAGTTAAAGGTCCACACAGTTTTATATATTCAGTGTCATGTCTTGTCTGCAGACTTAATATGAATACAACCAGCAGCCGGCTAGCTTAGCTTCGCATAAAGAATGGGAACAGGAAAACAGCTCGCCTGGCTCTGTCCAAAGGAAATGAAATCCACCTACCAACATGTCTAAAGTTAGCTAATAACATGTTATATCTTGTTTGTTTAATCTGTACAAAAGCCAACGTATAGAATCAATAAGTTATTGGTGCTTATTGTCACAAGCACAGAAAGCCCTGCACACTGTGACACAATCCCAACACAGTCCTCTGAGCATTTAAGAACTGCCTTGCTTGTGCTAAAATTATCCTCTAGGGGGGAAAAGGTCTCATGACTGAGACTATAGTGGCAAAATGATGAGTCACCTTCCAAAACCAGTTTTATCAAGGCACTTTTCATCTCCCTTTTCTGACATTTGAAATGAATTCTGGTGGATTTAAAGGAAATGTTACTTCATGCTACAAATCAAAAAAATATTTTGTCCTAACCCATAATTATACCTGCATGTAGTGTGAGATTCATGTTAACTTACTTTATCTGAATTGATATTTGCTGTTACAGTTTGGACCAAATCACAGACATCCTGCCCTCTTTCAACTGACTCTAAAAATGAACAGCTGTGTCCTTATCCTAAGTACTTATCTCAGTATTAAGGATTATATTTCTCGAATGCTGATTGGTTGAATATGGTGAGAAAAAATAAAAACAGATTGGGCCTTCAAATTTTTACTCTCTGTCATAAAGTGTCCTCTAAATAATCTACATGAATATTCGCTACAGTATTTTTAAAGTTATAAAGAAAGTAAATTGCCTCACGTACTGTATGGACAGTCTCATCTTTCAATTGTTCTGCTTAAATTTTATTTTATTGTTTGTTTCTACAATGTTCTCTAAACAGTTGTTTATTTTGGAGAGGAGGATTTTGTTGTTTTTATGATTTATGCTGACTTTTTTTAAATTATAATAGCTTGTAAATTGTAAGTAGGGCACAGTTATCAGTGTTTGCAACACGTGCTTGAAGGTTGCACAAATGAATCTTTTTTGAGCAAATACTCTTGTAATTTTGTTATGTTTATACTCACACTCCTCTTCAACATTTCTGCATCTGTGCTTTGTCAAATAAATAATGTTTGCCAGTTGTCATTCATTGGTACATTTTTATCAGCTGTCATCAAACAGGAAGCAACACAGTCTAAAAATCACTGGCCATCCCAAATACTTGTGTCCCAATACAATACCCAGTACAGACCTGATGCATTACTTGTCCATCATTTTCACAGTGCAAAAACACAGTGGTTAAGCCATGTAGCCTACTGAAGGTTATCAGACATGTGCAGCCAGTGGGCCAGTCATTAAAAACAAATGCTCTGCAGTCAAACAATGTTCAAACTCACAGAACTTTATATAAAATTATAGGGAATAAACAAATTGAATGAACTGATAGCATTTCACTGGAATCATATTCTTATGATGTCGTGACAAATAAATTGACTGATTGGTAGATAGTGGTGACCCCCAGAAGCTCCTAAAAACATCACATATTGACATGAAGACCACTTTTCATTTGTTTACATTTATTTACAGTACTTGTATTTATATTTTATGTTATTGCACTTTGTTATCACACTTTAGCCTGTTTGTACCTTGTCTTGTATCTCGTTCTGACAGTAGCTGTTTTTGTAATTGTTTGCATGTTCCTTTGTTTATTCTTTTGTTTTGACCAGAGAAACACAGTTTAGTTCTTCCAGTCCAGTGGTCTTCAACCAGGGGTCTGGAGACCCCCAGGGGTCATTAGAGGAGTCCCAGGGGTTTCCCAGAAAATTGGGGAATAGTTCATTTTCACTTTTTAATTAATGAGATAAATGAACCTGACGTGAGTAAGAGTCATAATAGTGATTATTCTGATCATACCCAGTGATGGCAGTGTTGGAAGTCAGCAAAAATTGGTATTGGCATTTTTTTCATGGGCGCAACCCAAAAACTCAGCTCTGCTGCTCATCCCACAAAAGCATGTTCCTTACAAATGTGGTACCATTTAAAAGGGAAATAAACAGGCTTTCCAACCAGGGTATGAAATTAACAAAATATTTGGGGGCAATTTTGGCCCCCACGGTCTAAAAAATGGGGGCATTTTCAAAATGTTTGGGGCCATCAGAAAATTGTAATTATGTTCTAACAATAAGCACATGAAAAGCAAAACCAACTAAGATAGTGTCTTCACTCTTCAGTAGAAACCACTATAAATGAAATAAATAATGGGTTACATAAAGTTATGGTTGCAAAATATCACTCAGATTTCCTACAATTCAACCAGTTTAAATGTGATGATTTAACCATTAATCTACTGATAGCAGTACTAATGTTTCACCACATTACAGTTACTTTTACTGTTAAAAAGGCCAAATTACTATAAATTCCTTAGATGCAATCCTGGAAGTAAGTTAATTTAAAATTTAACATTCATTCTACCTTAATTTTTCATTAATTTGTCATTGTGTAGACACAAATCACCCAAGAAATGGTTAATTTATACTTATGGTACAGCAAAGCCCCCTCCCCTTCTCTGTCAGATTACTCTTATGTAATCAGTGCAATCTCGTTGATTATGTCTGGAAAATGAGTTGTAGACGTGACGGTAAATTAATTTAATTAAAATAAAATTATACTTTAATGTCAGATTGTAATACTGTTAAAAATATAAATACATATAGTTGTTTAGAAAACTTGGGGGCAATTTTGGCCCCCGGAACATGGCTTTTGGGGGCATTCTTGGATAAATTGCGGGCCAAATGGCCCATGGCCCTTGCTAATTTCTGACACTGTTTCCAACGGTATAAGATTTATTGCCAAGATGCATTGTTAGAACAAATACATAATCTACCAAACACAAATTTCCTTACTTTTTGTGCTTAGTTTATGTATGCCATGTACCAAGTGTTTATCAGTAAATCTGTTTTAGTTGGATTTTTTCTGTCACAGTGACACACTTTATGAAACGCTTGCTGGTTTGGGTTTAATTTCCAAATCAGATGCCTCCATGGTCCACTGGTGCGTCTCCCCCCATCCATGCCCACCCGCCCGTCAGCAGGCCGCCCCTGCCTCCTGCCTCCGCTCGTATTGTAGGGTGGTCAACAGAGGAAGGATACTGAAGAGCCAAAATGGGAGTAGAAATTGAGACCATAACTCCGGGCGACGGTGGGAATAACCAGCCATGTTCAACATCGTAATACTGATATATTCCACTGAGTGTTTGGTGAAGTATAACACACGCTTACTCTTATTTTCTCCTGTTTTCAGGACGGACATTTCCGAAGAAGGGGCAGCGCGTCGTGGTGCACTATGTCGGTGAGTGTGGAGGCTGGACGAGAGCCGAGGATACTGAATGGAGCTCAAAGATACGGACGCTTTATGTGTTTTTAAAGCTAATGTTAACAACACACAGTGCGTAAACACGAGTCGTTACTACTGTGAAAACCTGCTTTATGCGTTAAATGGGGGACTGAGTAGAAACCTGTTTGTTTGAGCTAACTAACTGGTTGCTCATGCTGGTTAGCATCGCAGCTAACGGTCCATGTTAAACTAATTGCTCGTTGTGTCCGTTCGGCTAACGCTAGCTAAGGTGATGCTAACGCCGAGCATTAGGTCTCCAACTTGTATCACTTGCTAAACACTTTAAACAAACCTGTGTTATTATTATGTGAGGTATTGATAAGGGACAGAGGAGCAGCAGTCGAGCTAACGGTACCGTAGCTGCTGTCAGTGAGCTAACCGACCCCATGATGCCAGCCGGCTAACGTTAGCTTCTGGCTCTCAGTTACCGTTATGAGGCTAAAGTGGGACTTTGAGCATCAACCCGAGCTGATGATCGAGTGATATATCGATATATATATATATATATATATATGGTTTCTATCAGGCACACTGGCAGATGGGAAAGTGTTTGACTCATCGAGGTCCCGAGGGAAGCCGTTCAAATTCAAGATTGGACACCAGGAGGTTATTAAAGGTTGGGAAGAAGGAGTAGCCCAGGTGAGGATCTTGTTTCTAACTCTATATAGCTTAACAGTGCACATTTGGTAAACTCAGTCACACAGTTTGCCATACAGAAATGTAAACTGATGTGTGAACCACTTAACATAATGGCTACAGCAATGTAAAGAGGGTTCATTTGCTCTCAGGGACTGTTCTTTACTTGTCAGTGGAGAGGGCTGGCTGGAGTGTGACTGTGATTTTATTTTATTTATAGGTATTTATTTTTTGAAGCCACAGATATTTTCTTTGAGCCTCCCTGAGTGACTGGTGGAAAATGCATGACCCTTCCTTCACTGAAAACAATTTTTAAAAGTTAGCCTTAGGTGTTAAAATGTTAAACGATAAAAGCTGAAGATGAAATCCAGGAGCTTCTTTATTATTATTATTATTATTTATTTATTTATTTATTTATTTATTTATTTATTTATTTATTTATTTATTTTTTCATTTTTGTTTTTGTGTTGTTGTTTTTTTTTCTTGTTAACAAGTGCATCCCGTCTGTTTTTGGTAAAACTTTTAATGAGATGTAGAATAAAGTGATTTTGATGAAATATCAGCTTTTTTTTTTTTTTTTTTAATGGCGTCACACATGANCAAGTGCATCCCGTCTGTTTTTGGTAAAACTTTTAATGAGATGTAGAATAAAGTGATTTTGATGAAATATCAGCTTTTTTTTTTTTTTTTTTTTTTTTTTTAATGGCGTCACACATGATGTGTCCAAGGGCTGTTGGGAATTTAAAATCCAACTATAATTTCTGTTTTTGCATTTTCTGGCTGTGATAAATAGTGTAATTTTTGAGATTTTTAAAGAAAAATTACATTTTTAAAAATTGTAAATAAATAAAGAAAAAAGACTAAATACTTTAAAAATCTGCAGTAACATAAATACAACCACTGAAATTTGTGTGCCCCTCCTCTAAGATTAAAAAAAAAACACAAGTTCCTTCCCAGTGCTTAACAAATTGCCTCCCCCCTCTTGAACAACTCCCTCTCCCTCTCAAAAAAACAAACAGTCCCTTGCTGTGTTTTAATTTAAAAAAAAATTTAATCTTTGTTTTTTTTATGTCCAATCCAGGAGATAACAGTGAAACAGATGTAGAGGTGTTTTAAGATATCTCAAAATATTTTCCTTTTCATAAATCATATTTTTTATTGTGCACTCAAAAGAATACCAATGAAACAGGTACTGAGGTGTTTTGATGAGATATCTCAAAAATATTTTCTTGTTTATAAATCATGATATTTATTGTTCACTTAAAGGAATATCAGTCAAACTGGTGTTGGTGTTTTTCACTGAATGTTTTTGAAAATTAATTCTTAATAAGTACCTCCTCCACCTCCTCCACAGATGAGTGTAGGTCAGCGAGCAAAGCTGATTTGCTCACCAGAATATGCCTATGGCAGCAAAGGTCACCCAGGGATCATCCCACCAAACGCCACTCTCACCTTCGATGTGGAGCTCCTCAGTCTGGAAGCCTGAAACGTGCACTCACTTTAATTCCACTCAAATTTTCAGGGTGAGAAAAGCTTTTAAATCATTGTACAATCACCATGAACATGTGCATCATATCCTGTGTGTTGATGGACTTAATATGTAGCTCTCTTGAAGTGCAAGTGATGAATACCTTTAGTTTTTGTCAGCACCACACTTACGTTAAATGTTTACACATTCACTGTGACTTCACATTTAGCCTTTGTAATTTAGAGCAGTGTTAACAGATTAAATGGTTTGTGTGTAATTAGCTTTGCTTTGCGTATCCTGTAATCCCCTCTTGCCTGTCCTCCTTAAAGGAGAAATTTGGCACATTTTAAGTGGATATCCAATCAGTGTTGATGGCACATGCAGTAAATTGAAGCAATAAATATCTCAGTGCGAGCTATATTGACAGAGAAGCTGCGTTTTCCTTCTTGCACAGCTGTTATAGCAGTGCCTACTACATGCACCAGGCGTGGAGATGGGTGTCTCAAACATGGCTCTGTGACTTGCTTCACTTTTTAGCTAGAACACCGGCAAAACCGTAAATGTAATGACAATAGTGTTATCAACATCACCGGAAAAATGACATAAATTCAGTAACACTATAGTGTTTATATAGTGCCTGAAAGCTTTGTATCATCATCATAGTCGACCAAAACATTGCATTAGGTGACAGAAATATTCACTCAAAGGTCATCTGCTCTCTCAGCCCCACTGGCCTCTGTGTTTTTTTCCAGTTTATCTTCGTGATCCTGAGAAAGTGATTTCCCAAGCAGGCACAGTTAGCTCAACAAGCTGACTGACTATATATTCTAGATATTTATTCAAACTCCACAGAAACAAAATTAATCTCGCTGAAACGGTCATGGTTGCTTCGTCCACTCTTCCAAAAATCACTAACTCTGGTTTGGTTGAAATTAATCCGACTCCAAGTATGATGTGAAATGATCTGCACGCTGTGTTTCACCACTGTCTCTCAGCTGGTGGCAGAGCTTTGGAGGCGGAAGCAAAATAACATGACACAAAAACGGCAATGTACTCAGGCAGTCGTCAAAATATTTGTCCAATAGTCTAACCGTAGTCTCCAGCACACCACTGTCCAAATGAGGAGCAAAAATACGCACACATGGGCTCTCTGGTTTGTAGTTGGCAACAGCATCCAAGAAAAAATGGCCATGCTGAGATTCAGTGCAGCAGAATGTTATGTTTCTGTTGGTAATTCGAGCAAAGACATTGCCAGTCGGTGCTTGTTCTCGGCAGCTCAGGTTCTGGATGGTTGTGCCCTCTTGTACAGCTCAGTCTCTGCTGCATGTCTTCAGATGGGTTGAAATAAATCTCCTGCCTAAATGTCTGAGTTGGCAAATACACTGCAAAAAATATCCTCGTCTGTAATCCTCTACATTCATAATAAGTGAGGCAATTTTGGTGGACACGCAGCTAGTTTGCAATGCGAAACAAGGAAGATTTGTTTCAGGATGTATTTAGAGGATGGCCCCTGGATACGGAGAGACTGAGACTAGAACTACAAACTGAAATAGCTTGTAGTTCTTTCTGTGGTTCACGGAAAAACAGCAGATTTTGAAACAGCCCACAGAGACACTGAGAGCTCTATGAAAAAAACGTGTTTTATGTCAAACTATATCCCATATTAATTTAGTTAATGTTAGTTAATGTTGAAAAACGGCACAGTTGTCCTTTAACCGGAGCACTAACAGTTGTTTTCTCTCCGCTGCAGGTTGACTCCTATCTGGGGAACATGGAGGAAAAACATTAACAGATGATTCCTGCTCTTGATCCCTACATAGGACCTATGTCTATATCTTCACTAGTTCACTCTCCTTTACATTTAGATACAAAATATTGTGTTCTGTCACTTGCTTTAAAACTTTATCCTCCATACTATACTGTAGGTTCCATACAGTAATAAGTCATAGGCCATCCCATCCCATGTATTTTTATTCTGCTATGTATTTTTATGGTGATGTTTTTTGTTTTGTTTTTGTTTTTATTTGACTGAAAAATTTTAAAAAATGTGTCTGCCATCAGGACCAGGTTTCAGACAAGTGTCATAAGAACTGAGTCAATCTCATTCCTGTGGCTTTGTGGCCTTTACACTAAAATTGTATTGATTGCGGGTAATGAATTGTCTTGAAAAGAAAAAAAAGAATAAATTGTTGTTTGACACAATCTTTATATGAATTACCTTTGTGATACTCGTTATTGGGTTAAATTCAAAGTATGGAGTACATTGTAACAGGGATTCATGAATCAAGCACATTATTGCCATGAACAGCCTACAGGTCTCTGCAGATGTAGGAGTTTCTCTGTCTATACTGCAGCATCAGTTCTTAATTTAAGAGTGAAATGACTATTGCTAGACATTCACAACTGGACATGTTTGGTCTTGTTGACTGCTTGTGAAACATTTGGAAACTTTTTTTTTTTTTGTTTGTTTTTGCCAAAACAAAAGGTCTTATGGGGAAAAATAGTTTCTAAACTTGCATGGAAAGTTCCCCCACAAAGATTTGTAGGCACATGTTGGGGTTTGTGATTCTCTTTGTTTGAAGGAGTTGTGTGTAACAAGCTGTGGATGTTGTAAAAGGTCTGTTCCTTACTCTAAACACATTAAAAAGTAATTTTAACACAAACTGATATTTTCTTTCCCTTTGGGTGATTGAGTCACTGTCAAGCCTTGGCAGTGGCAGTGTGGGGATTTCACTTGCTTGTATGGCGGGTTGTACAAGTGATTGTCAGCAACAGCAGAAACACATTTTCTTAGTTACTCAGTAACTATCCTGGATTAAAGGGCTATCAAATGGTGGGTATTAAATGTTCTGTATGTGACTTGTGGAGCATTAATAGCAGCTAACCACTATTTGCGAGGTGAAGGTACAGTGGAGTAATGTCCTGAGTAGGGAACAAAGTCACGCTACCTCTGTGTGTGTTGTAGTCTGAGTTTCTCTGTGGTTTGTTGTATTCTGTGTTCTGTTAAAGGAACAGTTCACCCCAAAATTCAAAGCATATTTTACCTCTTACTTGTAGTGCTATTTGTCAGTCTAGATTATTTTGGTGTGAGAAGAAGTAGTAAGCATGTATCTACCACTAGCTCACGTAGCATCACTGAGCTAGCTAACGTTACAGCTCAGCTAAGGGGAGACGCCATCTGTCATGACTAAGCCTGTCGTCCATGAGTAGATGCACACTTCCTTCTGCACCGTGATACGGTTAGTAGGTGTTGTTCTGTAGAAAGAAAATAATTCCTACATAAAACTGCTCACAGCAAGATCTGTGGATTATCTTGAGTAACCAGGTCATGGTTTCTGAAAGGAGACATTGCTGTTGAGTTTTTCAAATGTATTTTTTGGCGCATTGAGCATCACAAGCTGAGTGACATCTAGCTCCATTATATTGGAGAGAAGGCAGACATCTCTACAGCTGATGTCTCCAGCGCTTGGCAAAAAAAACCTAGACTGATAAACAGCACTACAGGTAAGAGGGGAAAAAGTTTTTGATTTTGGGTTGAACTGTCCCTTTAAAAAAAAATGCTCTATTATTCATGCTTTTTATGAATTGATATTTAACGGTGTTGGAGCACATTATGAAAATAAAAGAAAACAGACTGAAGTATATTTTATTTTCCAAGAAGAGGGAATATCCAGGGTGTGTTGCAAAATCCTGTTGTGCAATTATACTTAATCACTAAGTCATTGCTTTTGCATGTGCAGTACAAGCTGATGATTGACATGGAGAAGCACATGGAGATATTTAGAACATGAAGGAAATGAAGTTGCTCTGGAACTTTAACAAATTAAAAATAAGAAACACTACAGTATGCACTGCTCCAACCACAGATAAATTAGACTTTTTATTTCCCACTTGAGTTTGCAGTGCTTCCTCTGCTGTGAGCTGAGTCATTAAACAGCGAGTAAACCCTTATCGTAGAGATCCCTGAAAGCTAAACATTGCTCTTTTTGCATAATAAGGCTGACAGTGGTAACCACACATGTTGTACATCATAGTCTGTAGTTAACAATTGAGCCGTTACAGTCGACACACAAAGGTCCACTTGTAAGACGAGTGTTCACAACTACATACAGTACATCATTTTTATACACTGTGAGACAGTGCTGTGAAAGCAGCCGACACCGACACAAAGTGTTACTCTTCACCTGCAGCTGTGCAAAGATCATGAAAAGTTAGAAAATATATCACTGTATCAAAATCTCTTCACAAAGTCAGTTAACAAAACTCTTCATCCAGGTCCTTCATTCATTCAGCTGTGCAGGTCACAATCTACAGTATCTTTTTTAACCTTTGTAGGAATATGTTAGTGTAGGTACGAGACCAGGCGGAGCATTTTAGGACTGGAGCAGTGGGAGTCAGGTGTATACTCATGCCCTGCTCACACACCCACCTCAAGGCTTTATTTTTAGATCCAAACTGCTATAAAGGTTGTCCTGCTGAAGAGCTTCACTGTGCCTCGTTTAGCTTTATCTTCATCACGTACATTAAGGATGTAAACTGCAGGTTTTTATTACCCTTTATTTTCAGGTTCACTGGGCCTCATGCAGCAACTCTATTAAACGTATCTTACATTTTTTTCTTGATATTCTGTTAAGAGAAAAAAGACAACTTCAGATGTGCCAAATGTTCTTAATTTAACCATCCAAATCTGCTCTTACCCAGGTGTGCTAAATGATGAGTCCCACTTTATCATTAATAACCCTGTTAGCACAGGTAACACCCCACAAACACTAGATAAGACTCAGGCACATGCCTAAGAATTGGAGAGACGCCACCAACATAGGCTGTAAGAAGAATAACTTGAGCAATATATGTACTGTAAAATAAACTTAAAGCAGGGTGCCCTGTGGCTCAGTGGGTAGAGCTGGCATGTGTAAGGCAGTGTCCTTGCCCATGGCCCCCTGCTGCATGCCATACCCCTTATCTCCCCACCCACACCCAATCTGTCCTGTCCAGTAAAGGCATAAAAAAAAGCCCCTCCTAAACTGTCAGTTCTGATGTTACAGGAAAATCATAAACCCAGCTATGGCAAAACATCTGTGATGCTGTTAGTGCTGTGTCAGCAGGAGTGGAGGATGTATTCAGATCCTTTACTTAACTAGTAAACTAGTACTAATACCACACAGTAAAAATACTCTGTTACTAGTAAAAGACCTGCATTGAAAATGTAAGTACAAGGATGTATTACAAGTAAAAGCACTACATGCAGAACATTTTAAATTAATTTAATAAATCAAAATATTAAAAGGAAAAGCAGCAAGTATGTGACGTCTTTGAGAAGCTGGAACCATGAAATGTTCATGCATAAAAAATGTCAAATGTTTATCGAAATATTTGCCTATTAATTTTCTAATCAATCAATTAATTGTTTCAGCTTCATCTGGATATTTGCATATGGTTTGTGTGCAAATATCCTAATTTGTAAAGTAACTGTTAACTAAAATGATCAAATAATAGAACAATATTTCCCCTGAAGTGTAGTGGAGTAGAGGGAGAATGTGCCATGGGATTAAAGTACTCAGTCAAAGTTGTACTTAAGTAGAGTACTTGAGTAAGTGTACTTAGTTACATTCCACACACAGTAACTGAATTGAAAAGAAAAAGAAAATGGTTTTAAAAGCAGTGCAGTCTGAAACGGCTCAGCAGCCATTCATCCATCTCATCAAATACATCTGTGTTATTTGTAAAAACACATTCTCTAAGAAGCGGCTAAGAGCAGGATGTCAGCCATTCAGAAGCTGCTATGTAATATCATGCAGGGCTTTGTATTCTTAATTGAGATCAGTTTAGCAATGGTATTTCTTTAGCTCACAAATTTAATAATCAAATCATTATGACTCTAAAACATAATCATCTAAATTTGATTATATGATAATAAAGGCATTTTATTTTTGTGTTCATTTAATGAAAACTTGTGTCTCCTTGCCTCAGACAAGTAATTTGTGATCTGTGGAAAACAAGATGTTTCTCTCTTATCTCTGTAACAGTGCCCAATTTTCTCTGACGTAAGAGAACGTCAAAAATAAAAAAAAACATGATGAATCCCAGAAATCAATGAGTACCAACAAACAAAGTCTTACAGCTGCTGTGAAACTGCAGCTACTTAGGGCAACAAAAAAGTTTATCTTGGTTGCGTCAGTCCAATCATGGACAACCAAGAGAGGACGGCAGAGGAGATACCTGCACACCTATGCAACTGGGTTGGACAGCCAGCCTGTGAACCATTTTTGTGGCTGTCCATCGACACACAAACATAAAAGAAAATCTGTTTGTATATCTCTTCCTGCATGAGGCCCACTGATACATAACTGATTTTAGTCCCGACAGGATCAAAGAAATCGAGTCTGTACAGTTTTAAACTCCCATGTTTTGTTTATTGGCAAAAAGATCAATAACCTGTCTGTTCTGCACCTGAGAGCTGGGTTCAATGCACATGCTTCTCAAAAGGTAAAAGTCCCAACAGCTTTCACATTCAGTGTTTTCATGGGTGGAGATGACTGCTGCCTACATTGATGTGCTCTGTAAATCTATTAACTATGTGTGGAAAAAGTCAGAAAAGTTCTGACTGTAATTTATTTTTCTGATTTTGTGGGACATTGATGCCAAAGAAACTTTAATGACCGTGAGTCTCCTTTTTCACAATTTTTAAAAACATGATGATGAAAATAGAGGAGCATTCAACTTCAAACAAGTTCTCTTTCATGTTTCATGAAATCAACTGATTATTTTCACCCGGAGGATATCATCTATATCCAGGTGGGCTTTTTTTTAATTCAAGCAAGAGAACCCAACCAAACTGTGGGTTACATGCAAATTCCAAGAAAGAGAAAACCACTTAAACTGCAGGCAGGAGCAGTAAGGATATCTGAATACTGAAATAATGTACAACTAATCCTTTGTTTTCTAAGGCAAGGCATGAGCACAGAATCACAAGGGCATTATGTAAAATCTAGAAATCTTAAAAGAGGAGATACCCAACACGTGGAAATGACCAGAATGTGAGAAACTCAGCGTAGCTGTGCCTGCAGAGGTTGGGAGTTGTGATCTTTATGTCAGAGAGTCTCAGATTGGTGTTGTTCCGTTCATGCTGGTGGGCCTGCGTCCCCTGCCTGCACCCCGGCGACGCAGTGAGTGGAGGGCCACAGCACAGCAACCTCTCAGCAGGGAGCCGATATGATACACCGGCATGACTCCCTGTGGCGCCCCTCGACACAGCCATGCCATGGTTGGGACCACTGGCATTGCCAAAGCTAACAGATCTACAAGAAAGTAGCGGCTCCAGTGGCAGAGCTGAGGCGGGTACCCATCTTCGTCTGTACCTTCAGGTTCATCCTTATCGTCCTCTCCTAGATCCACTGCCACAGCGTCCTGTCTCTCTGGGAGCGGAGCTGTAGGGTGGGGCTGGCAGGTGTGGGGCTCTGTTGGCGTCTTTGTGACCTGCTCTGATTTGTCGGGCGGCTCTACGCTGTGTGAATGCTCAGGAGGGGACGCAGCAGGTAAAGACGATGGAAATAGATGTGGCTCTGAGGGGGTAACTTCTGCTGTGGCTAAAGAAATGACACTCAGCTCCTCGACACCGCTCTCCTCACACAGCCAGCTCATGGTGGGGCTGCAAGCCTGTGAGCGCACTTCTGGCTTCCTCTCTGCGGCAGGAGAAGGAATAGGGATAGGCTCAGTAGTAGGGACAGCAGCAGGCGCTGCTGTCACCGGGGCCTCCTCCTGGGGTAAATGCAGGAACAAGTGATGATGGGGGAGGTAGGCGTGGCCACTGCACTTGCAGCTGCTACTTAGAGTGTGGCAGGAGTGTGAGATTGGCAACACCGCCCCCCCGCTGCACAGCCTTTCGTAGGTGGAAGAGCGCGGCACAGTTGGGGGGCCTCGGATGTGGCCCTGTGACGGCAGCGGTTCTGAGAGGAGGGCCGCCTCCAGGAGCAGGTGGGTTTGTCCTGCTGTGCAAGACACTCTGCTCGCCTCAGGAGCGTTGGGGCTGCGCTCCAGCTGCAGAGCCTCATTGCTCATTCGGGTGTGGGCGGTGCTGCGGCTCAAAGTGCTGGCTGGGGAACAGCCGCAGGAGCGAGACTTCCCCCCTGGCCGAGCTCCCTGCAACCCTGAGTATGGCTTGTGTTCATGGGGTTCTTGTTCATGGAGACTCAGGTTGGACCTCACTGTCTCAACCACCTCCTGAAGGTGCTGGATCTCCTTGCGGGCCTCTTTCAGAGCTAACTGGGCCTCCACACGGTGACATTCCTCCTCTATCCAGTCCTCCTGCATCCTGTACAGCTGGGCCCTCAGCTCATCTATTTCACAGTCTCTGATAAAGGATAAAAGATAAGTGAAGAGCAGAGTTATTTCTCTTTTACAGAAACAAATCAAAGGACTCCTACAAAGATAACATTCTGAAGTAGATAAAGACTCACCTGTGTTGTAATCTCTCCACATTGTCCCTCAGTCTGGCTCGCAGATGTCGTATACACACCTCCTTCTGTTGCAGAGGTGTGAGGTACTGCTCCGGGGTCGGCGGCCTGATGCCATGGTTGTCGCTGCAGGTTGTGTGCTTCGCCTGACGCCTGAGTAAACACACAGATATGAAAATGTAATTTACATAAACTTGTTTGCTTAATCACGTGTGAAAAATGGCCCTGTCTACACGTATACAGATAATCTAAAAAACGGATATTTCCCTCCTCCTTTAAAAAACAAATTCTGTCCACACGACCTTCGTTTTACAAAATATTTCCATACAAACTACAATGCACAAAAGCCATCAGCTGTCTTCTGCAGTCTCCAGTCGTTGCAAACATAGTTGCTTTTTTCAAAATGCTGACTGGAAATCTCATCACTGTTGATTCCCTTTAGATACAAGGATGAAGGAGTGGTGAGGCTCTGGACATGTTAAAGTTTTCCTTCTACTCCTCATCGACAATAATCTTGTCAACAATACCTGTCCCACCATCTGCTGGTGCAACCAGGCCTGATCCAAAACCGCCGAACCAAACAACACTGGGCAAAGCAGATGGTTCTGTTTGTCAGTGAAATGATGCAGCAGTCTTAAGTTTACGTGTAGTAATAAGACCAAGCAATGCTGACAAAATGTAAACAAACTGGTCGTCTGTTGTTGTTTCTGGCACATGCTCATTACACAAAGCAACAATGGGCATGCATGAATTAAGGGGATTACATCATTAGCCCCTTTTACACTGCCTGTTAAGGCCATTACAGGCTGTTAAGCCGCCTCGCTGTGCTGTATACAAGGTACGATCATGGAATGGGGGGACAGAGTGGTCTTGCCTTTAAGCAGGAGGTCGTAACAGCGCCGAAAATATGTCTGTATAAACAGGACGGCAGGCAGGATGGGGCCATGGGTGGCACAGGTGTGACGTTTTGATGATGTGTATGTGTGCGACCCCCCGTGGGAGATTTAAAAAGTAGCTGTTAGCAGTGAGCAGCTAACTTAAAGAAGAAAACAGCGGCCGTAAATGTCTGAAAATTGTAAAAACAATTGGGAGCTCCTTACCCTCCGAGCAGAGGATGAGGTCAGCTGCCATATAACAGGGTCAGTTAATGATTGTTATTGCTATTGCCATGTTTGCACTGTTATTGTTTGACACGTTTTATTTCACACTAGAGGCCGATGTTGTTGTGTTACTTTTTTTTTTTTTTTTAAATTTTATATACTTTATTAATCCCCGAGGGGAAATTCAATTTTTCACTCTGTTGTCAATTACACACAGGTCTGAACACACACATGCACAAACTGGACCTATACATGCACTAAGTGGAGAGTGGGCTGCCCATGACAGGCGCTCGGTAGTGCCCAGGAGGTGAACTGGCACCTCTCCAGCTACCAGTCCACGCTCCATATTTTTGGTCCGGACGGGGACTTGAACACGCGACCCTCCGGTTCCCAACCCAAGTCCCTATGGACTGAGCTACTGCCGCCCCCTTACATGTCACGCCTGTTACACCTGCTTTGGCACTGCTTCTGCGAGTGCAGTGTACATGACTGACCTGACATAAACTTATTACCCTGATGTAACTTCAGCTAAAAGATTTGGTGTTGATTCAGGCCAAATTTGGTTACGTAAGGAAAACAGTAGCTTGAGTGACGGGAAACACCATTTAATGTGAACTGGAAAGCTGTAGGTGTGTCAACTGATACTGCTTGTTTGTCAGACACTATAAATTGTCATGATGTACTAATTCTTTGGCTTTCTGGCAAGTAAACCCTCAAATGTGCAACTCCATGTCTGAGCCTCTCTTATTTTAAATCTTGTCAATGCTACAACAATTACAGCATGCAGTCTAAAATCAAACACTGGAGAGTAATGATGCAGGCGTCGCTTGATGCTGTGTAAAAATGCAAAGGTGGCATAAAGGAGGGACTTTGTAGCAACCCTATAGGACCATCTTTCTGCAAAAAGGGCTATTGTTTCCCAAAAGCTCTGTTTTACACGTCCACACAGATAAACAGTAAACAGAGTTTTGAAAAACCTGCAACTTGGAAGTTTTAGTGACCCAAAACGCAGAGGAACATTAACGTTTTCAAAAATATCTATATACAGTACAGGCCAAAAGTTTGGACACACCTTCTCATTCAATGCGTTTTCTTTATTTTCATGACTATTTACATTGTAGATTCTCACTGAAGGCATCAAAACTATGAATGAACACATGTGGAGTTATGTACTTAACAAAAAAAGGTGAAATAACTGAAAACATGTTTTATATTCTAGTTTCTTCAAAATAGCCACCCTTTGCTCTGATTACTGCTTTGCACACTCTTGGCATTCTCTCCATGAGCTTCAAGAGGTAGTCACCTGAAATGGTTTCCACTTCACAGGTGTGCCTTATCAGGGTTAATTAGTGGAATTTCTTGCTTTATCAATGGGGTTGGGACCATCAGTTGTGTTGTGCAGAAGTCAGGTTAATACACAGCCGACAGCCCTATTGGACAACTGTTAAAATTCATATTATGGCAAGAACCAATCAGCTAACTAAAGAAAAACGAGTGGCCATCATTACTTTAAGAAATGAAGGTCAGTCAGTCCGGAAAATTGCAAAAACTTTAAATGTGTCCCCAAGTGGAGTCGCAAAAACCATCAAGCGCTACAACGAAACTGGCACACATGAGGACCGACCCAGGAAAGGAAGACCAAGAGTCACCTCTGCTTCTGAGGATAAGTTCATCCGAGTCACCAGCCTCAGAAATCGCAAGTTAACAGCAGCTCAGATCAGACACCAGATGAATGCCACACAGAGTTCTAGCAGCAGACCCATCTCTAGAACAACTGTTAAGAGGAGACTGCGCGAATCAGGCCTTCATGGTCAAATAGCTGCTAGGAAACCACTGCTAAGGAGAGGCAACAAGCAGAAGAGATTTGTTTGGGCCAAGAAACACAAGGAATGGACATTAGACCAGTGGAAATCTGTGCTTTGGTCTGATGAGTCCAAATTTGAGATCTTTGGTTCCAACCGCCGTGTCTTTGTGAGACGCAGAAAAGGTGAACGGATGGATTCCACATGCCTGGTTCCCACTGTGAAGCATGGAGGAGGAGGTGTGATGGTGTGGGGGTGTTTTGCTGGTGACACTGTTGGGGATTTATTCAAAATTGAAGGCACACTGAACCAGCATGGCTACCACAGCATCCTGCAGCGACATGCCATCCCATCCGGTTTGCGTTTAGTTGGACGATCATTTATTTTTCAACAGGACAATGACCCCAAACACACCTCCAGGCTGTGTAAGGGCTATTTGACCAAGAAGGAGAGTGATGGAGTGCTGCGGCAGATGACCTGGCCTCCACAGTCACCGGACCTGAACCCAATTGAGATGGTTTGGGGTGAGCTGGACCGCAGAGTGAAGGCAAAGGGGCCAACAAGTGCTAAACACCTCTGGGAACTCCTTCAAGACTGTTGGAAAACCATTTCAGGTGACTACCTCTTGAAGCTCATGGAGAGAATGCCAAGAGTGTGCAAAGCAGTAATCAGAGCAAAGGGTGGCTATTTTGAAGAAACTAGAATATAAAACATGTTTTCAGTTATTTCACCTTTTTTTGTTAAGTACATAACTCCACATGTGTTCATTCATAGTTTTGATGCCTTCAGTGAGAATCTACAATGTAAATAGTCATGAAAATAAAGAAAACGCATTGAATGAGAAGGTGTGTCCAAACTTTTGGCCTGTACTGTACGTGTAGACCTGAGAGTCCGGGTAAGAAAGAAAACAGTAGTGACTTGTGAAAAGCCTGTACACTGAAAATAAATCAACCCTTGTGCAAATCAAAGTGCTGTTGAACTTGGCCCTGGCCACATATTCACATATTCATAATTAATATCTTACCTCGGTGTACTCGGATAAGTCCGGGCTGTGGGGCTGCCCTCTGGTGCCCTGATCCGACCAGGGTACGTGTGGGTACTGGATGTATCGCTGTGGGAATATCGCCCGCTGCCACCTCCAGTGCCCACTGAGCGCCTTGAAGGAGAGATGACATCACACTCTTTTACAATACAGACAGCAGCCACCGAACCAAATGTGTCAGATCTTTAACTCTGAAACTGACGGTGTGAGAGTACAGTACCTGCGCTGACCTGAGGAGGGCTTCCGACTCGGAGTGAGAGACATTGATGAGCGAGGGACCTCCAACCTCTCCACTGCTGTCTCTAGAGAGGGACGCTAGGAGCCCTCACAGCTGCTTACACAAACACATTAAAGGCAAAACAGCTGAAAATCTAAATCACAAATATCCCAAAACAACCAAGGGAAAAATCTTCCAGCATGTAGGATGCTGCGTGTGGCCATTACTGTCTGTGCTTCTTCACTGGAAGTCAGTGACAATAGTCTAACCCTAACCCTAATTAAATTTTTTTCTGTCCAGGCCAGCAGCAAATAAAGCCTCCTTTCTGTGCTGACACAAAGGGGACACAGTGAGTTCACAGTCGGTGCAGCTGCCTCTCTCTGAGCTGTGTCCTCTCTGTCTGCAGAGCTGCAGATAAACATGATAAACCTTCACATTAACTGCTGCCAAAGGGCACAAACAAAGAAAATCTGACATTTGGTGGCTGGTAGTCAGTGTAGTCATTTCCTGTCTGCAGTGAATTAAGAACTTCACATCACTGTTAACAAAGCAGTATCGTATGATTTAGGTTTGTTGTGCTCCAGATCCCAAAACTACAGGAGTCTAAGTGGTCCGCACATGAAATGAATTTCACTCGTGTCACGCCCTGAAAGTAGTGCCGTCGCAAGGATTTCTGGGAATACTGAGGTCATGAGTCCCGCCCAACGCACCCAAACCTTTGATTTTTTTTAACAATCTTTTTTTATTGAGCTATTGGACAACGTGAACAGTAAGATTTCAACAAAGAAAATAAGTATAATATCCCCAACCCTGGCAAGAAAAAAATAAAATAAAATAAATGAAAATTAATTAAAATACAAAAATAATAATAATAAAAGTACATAAATAAATAAAAGAAAAATTAACATAAAATATAATCACAGCTGTGTATAATTTGCAAAAAGCTTCAAATTATTCACAATCACAAGTTGCCAAGAAGTCCATATAAGGGCTTCACAAACGGACAAAGTTCTTGTCCTTCTTTTTTAGAATATACGCCAGTCTCTCCAAAGCTAGACAGGCTGTCATTTCCTTTGTTCACATTCCAGTGGAAGTGTATCCACAACCCAAACCTTTAATTATTTGGATCTTTCATATTTAATTTATTCTGTTAACTGCTTGTATGTATTTGTCCCCCAACATGAAGGTCTTAACACTGATTCAACCAGGAATAAAATGTCAGAAAATTACCTTCATTACGACTGAATATTAAAATGATCAACCAATGACTGTATATAATTATGGACAACATGTCTGTACTTCCTGCCACTATACAAATTGAAGCCACTGCCATCTTGCAATGATGACTTCATTTGGAGCCAGTCATTAGCATTAGCATTTCCATTAGCAATCTCCTACCTGGACAACTCGTCCAACCAATCGTAAGCGGCAACTCACAGCTGTAAATCATGTCAAACCCCTTTTTTACAGCATAATATAACTATTTAAAACCAAACTTATCAGGAAACTTGACTTGAACACACATCAACTTAATAAAAACTACCTTAAATGACAGAAACATGTTTTGGGGAGAAAAAAAAAATTGCTGTGTATTTTGAACTTTTAGTTTTGCCCATGTCCCATCTGCTAACATGGAGGGTGTTTATGACCTACACTGCAGCCAGCCACCAGGGGGCGATGGAGAAGTTTTGGCTTCACTCATGGGGAGCTTTCATGTCGTCCATCTTTTATATTCTGTGGTATCCACTGATGTATAAAGAGAACTTGATACAGTGTTGGATGTGGGTGACACGTGTAGCCCTCTGATAACTTGAATAAAATTATTTAATCGTGCACCTCCTCTAGACTTTTGAAATGTTATCGGACTCAATGGATCAAATCCTGATAGTGACAGGAGTCATTTTGCAGGTTTGTGATGCCAAAAATGTATCTACTGTCTCTGACGTGTCTTTCACAATGTAAGTGTATAGGAAAAAGTCTTTTTGGGCCCCATGGCGTCACATGATGGACCCAGAAGTTATAATTCCACATTTTGTCACTGTCTAAAACTGATTTCAAAGCCCAGTACAGTTCCTGGGGGCTTGATGATATCATCGACCACCAAAGAGTCAAGTACTAAAAGTTTGTGTGTTGATTTTTAGGCTAATTTACTTGTTTGATCAGATATTTCCATATCCCTACTTAGTCTTTAACTCAAGATAAGAGTTTATTTAGAGGTCTTTTGTCTGTTCCAGAGGCCAGGCAGAAAATTTAAGAGGACACAGTGTTTGCTGTCAGGACCCCAAGGCTCTGGAACAATCTCTACAAGGAAATCAGGGTGGTCGAGTCAGTGATCACTTTTAAGTCCCTTCTTAAAACAAACTTTTATCAGAGAGCCTTTTCTGATTTTACTTGAGATTTAAGTTCATTTAAAATGTATTTTATTTCCTCAGTTTTTATACACTGAAGTGTTTCTATCAGTTCTTTTAAAAATTGTAATTTTTTATATGTCTTGTCTGTTTTGATTATTGACATGTAAAGCTCTTTGTAACTCTGTTTTGAAAAGCGCTTTATAAATAAAGATTACTATTGTTATCAGCCTATTTACTGGACTCCGCTTGAGCACTTTGACATCTGTTTTTAAGAGAAAAAAGGGTCAAAACATGTTTATAGTTCCCACAGTTTGGTTTCCTATAGGCACCGAAATTGATGGTCATCTCTCGTCCTTTATTCCTTTACATTTTGTTGCTGTGAAATCTGTCATGTTTAGGTCTAAATACTGGAATAAGCCTGTAAAATATCCACCATGTGTATATTTTTAATTGAACAATGTAAACTAGATTGTTAAAACCCTGATATACACAGAATAAATCAGAGGACATGACCTCAGTGACCTCAATGATAGCTATGCCCACTGCTTAAAATCCAAATCAGGTATTGTCACCACCCCAGTTATTGAAAAGCTCATCTCTGTCTTAAAGCTAAAATGAAAAATGAGGACAAAATGTTCTTAAAAACGTCCCTGTCTTCAAGCAGCTCCACAGAGGACCTGCTGATGGAGGCTCTAAATCTACCTGCTGCTGGATCAATCTTTACAGCGGCTGCAGACACAACACAATCCACTGACAATGAGAAGTCTGAACGAAACAGACGCATATTAATTAAATTTGTGTCCTATATTTAAATTCTAGGACACCGAGACAGGAAATCTCACCCTCCTCTCTGCTGTCTGCGCAACAAGTGGCAAAGCCCGTTATTGGTGAGAAATACGCAATCATCTTACGTAAGTATCAGTGTTTACTGTGGAGGCGAGCATCATACAGTAGGTGGATCAAACTGTACTTAAAGCAGCGTTTACACGGAGGAGATGAGGCAGTCAGCTGGTGGTGTGTTTCGGGATGTTTAACAGACGGTGCGGGGACGTGTCCTTGAATATGATGGTATTAAATCACAGGGTTTTTCCATATCTGTCGCCCACAGTGAAACAGTGTTAGATAAGCAGGCAGATCTGCTGTGATCATTTTAAAAAAGTGTCATAATTGGTTTGTATCTAGCTGAAAGAGAGGAGTCCCTAAACAGGACATCTAACACCCCAGCAGGTACTTTCCATAAAGGAAAATGCAGCTTCTGATGGAAACAGCTGACTAACACAGCTGTGCGTCCTACATACAGTTACTTAACAAGGGTGTTACTCTGAATCTAAAAACAAACCTTTGTGGAAGCTGCACACACACACACACACACACACACACACACAAAGAGAAAAGAGCCCGACACAGCCTACATTAACAGTGACATATCAAACGTTACCATTTGGGCAGATGGAAGTTGCGCATCGTAGAAAAGCCTCGGTTCCCGCCAGACTTGATGGTCGATGAAGAGTCCCCGGTGGCAACAGGAAGAGAGGATGCTGCTGCTGCTGCTGCTGCTGCTGATGAGAGTCCATCCTGCAGCCATGAAGCCCGGAGATGAAATGAGGCAACTGCGTCTGCTGCATCGGTGCTTCTTAAAGTGACAGTAGGGGATAATAAGGCTTCATTTGGCAGCTCTCCACCGCACATTAGTGTTTAGTGCTGACCACTGGGATAAAGATGCTCTGGCAAGTGATATGTAGTTAGGAAAGCCTCGTTCATTTAAAATACTGTCAGGAGGGCAGGGTGATGAGTCTCCAGCTGGCCTGGTACACCATGTACAACACCTCAGATGATGGATGAATGTGCAGGGGAGCACTCACTGACTAATGCATGCCACAGGCAGAGCAAACTTTGCTCCTTTAAACAGAGGCGGTCCTGGCTAGTTTTACTCCCTGGGCGAACCATCCCTCTGCGCCCCCCACCTGAAAATAACTATTGTTGTGTTTTTGTTGTCTGGGAATGAAGTTTATATCTGTTTAGTCTGAGTGGGCGGAAGTTCGCTGCATAGATCAGCCTCTCATTGGGCGGAACGAGCCACCCGCTGAAGTCCCGCCCTACCACCTCCGGTTGTGTAGCAGTTTTCAACCGTTTTCAACACGTCCTTTACTAACTTTTGCGGTGTTTGATCTTGCGGGGATGTAGCCATTTTTCTGCCATGGTTCGCGTCCTGTAGGCGATATTTTTGTGGGCATGTTACACCAAAACCTGTTTCCCCTCAGCAATATTTTTGCAAGCGCACTGTTGCTGTGGCACTGCCCAGAATGATTGTGATTGGTTGAAAGAAATACAAACAGCCAGGGCGTTTTTTTCTCCAATCTCAAAGTGAAAGTCGGCCCAGCCAGACCTTTCTTTTCTTGAGAAAGGTCTGGTGAGCGAGACTAATATCTGTTAGGAACCAAGCAGTTAGGCAACAAGGACACAAGAGCTGTTGACAAAAAAAAAAAATTACCAAAAAACTATACTCACCAGCCACTATATTAGGTACACCTTGCTAGTACTGGGTTGGACTCCCTTTTTAATTCTTGGTGTCATAGATTCAACAAGGTGCTGGAAACATTCCTCAGAGATTTTGGTCCATATTGACGTGACAGAATCACAAAGTTGCTGATGTGAATCTCTCGTTCCACCACATCCCAAAGGTGCTCTATTGGACTGAGATCTGGTGACTGTGGAGGCCATTGGAGTACAGTGAACTCATTGTCATGTTCAAGAAACCAGTTTGAGATGATGTGAGCTTTGTGACATGGTGCGTCATCCTGCTGGAAGTAGCCATCAGAAGATGGGTACACTGTGGTCATAAAGGGATGGACACGGTCAGCAACAATACTGGCTGTGGTGTTTAAACCATGCTCAGCTGGTACTAAGAAAATCTCCCCCACACCATTACACCACCAGCAGCAGCCTGAACCGTTGATACAAGGCATTTCATGTTGTTTACACCAAATTCTGACCCTACCATCTGAATGTGGCAGCAGAAATCCAGACTCATCAGACCAGGCAACGTTTTTCCAATCTTCTATTGTCCAGTTTTGGTGAGCCTGTGTGAACTGTAGCCTCAGTTTCCTGTTGTTAGCTGACAGGAGTGGCACCTGGTGTGGTCTTCTGCTGCTGTAGCCCATCTGTTTCAAGGTTGGACGTGTTGTTACTGTTGCCTTTCTATCATCTTGAACCAGTCTGGCCATTCTCCTCTGACCTCTGGCATCAACAAGGCATTTTCACCCAGAGAACTGCTGCTGTTTTCTCTTTATGGGACCATCCTCTGTAAACCCTAGAGATGGTTGTGTGTGAAAATCCCATTTGATCAGCAGTTTCTGAAATACTCATTAACAGCCATGCCACGTTCAAAGTCACTTAAATCACATTTCTTCCTCATTCTGATGCTAAGAACTTCAGCAGGTCGTCTTGACCATGTCTACATGCCAAGATGCACTGAGTTGCTGCCACATGATTGGCTGATTAGCCATTTGTGTTAAAGAGCAGTTGAACAGGTGTACCTAATAAAGTGGCTGATGAATGTATACTCAATACAATAACAAAACAAGGTGTTTGACAAACCAAATAATACACAAGGGGGAACTAAAATGGACGGCAACTACAACTAAATGCAAAGCAAAACTGACTTAACCCAAATCCCCCCATGACATGGCAGCACATGGTTTGACCCAGTGGATTTAAGAGTCCTCAGCCCTCAGCCACACCTTTTGCTCCACTGGGAAGGGACTGCGCCAAACAACCATGGTAACTGCAGTGCTCTGCTTCTGTGGATATTTGCTACATTTGAACCATGCTTTAACCTGAACTTACACATGGTAATGTTAACTTCAGCTAACGCTAACGTTAAAAAGGTTAACGTTACTCCTCTTACATTTAATATTTGCTCAATGTGGACATGTATGCAATTAGCTTATGTCACTAAGATTACTTTTAATGCGTATCTCTAAAGTTTACCATGAATTATGGAAACTAACTTTGTTAGTGGCAATGTAGCACAGCAAAGCCGGGTGCAGTGCAGTGTTCAGTCAGGTTGCCAGTGTACTGTAGGTGGGCGTGCGTAGTGCCCTTCGGCTCCCTCAGTCAGATCTACTTCTCGTTCCTTCACAGCCCCACCATCTTGTCCAAATCTGGTCACTTCTGGCTCCAGAAATCCAAGATGGCGACAGCCAAAATGCTGAACTCAAGGCTTCAAAACAGCACTCCACAATCTAGTGGGCAACATCATGGTGGCTATGGCCATTATTCATACAGTCTATGGTTTGAACTCACATGAACTCACTACAGTGTTGTGTTGTAGCAGGATTAAAAAAACAAACAAAAACACAACAACGCTGCATGGGTAGGTTTGTCCTGTACCGTTCATTTTATAATGATTATTTATGTTTTTATTTTGCATTGTGATTTTAATGCATTTTCTTGCTCTGTAAAGCACTTTGAGTTACTTTGTGTACGAATTGTGCTCTACAAATAAACTTGCCTTGCCTTGCCTTACCGGTGGTGGGTGCGGCAGGCTTTAAATGGAACGTGGCTGTAGCTGCACATTATGGCCGAGTAGCTAACTTCTGGCTTAGACCTCGGCCAACTTGTAAGAGCATAGAAATTATTTGATTATGTGTCTTTATAGACTTTCATAATGTTATCGGACTGAATGAAAAAAATGTATTCACTGATTTACAGGCGTCGCTTTCTCAATGTGAGTCGATGGAAAGAAGACGTTTAGGCTCCAGGGCATCATGTGACAAGCCTTGAAGTTGTAATTTCAGAACTGGCCACTCTGTAAAATGGGCTTCACAGTCCAGCACACTTCCTGGGGGCTTGCTCTGGATAGGGCCATGCACATTGTTGCATCTCAGTAGTTACCCTACACGTTTGGCACTCACTTCTGCAACTTCACTGCTAGCTGCTACTAAATCCTACACACTGGACATTTAAAATAAAAACACACTTAAACAATATCCATTTATGCATTTATTTTAATACAATTTGCAATGACATAAGCCAGAACATATTTACAGTGTCAGGAAAAAGTAAAAAAAAAAGAAAAGTAAAAGTAAATTCTTAAGACTTTTTTTTTTTTTTTTTTTTTACAAAATTAACTTCAAGAACAACTGAGAAATGGGAAGGTCACTGAAGTCCAGTTTGGTAAAGTCATTCCTATGCCTTCAAAGCACAGGTCTGTATTAATCATCACCTCCTACTATCATTTGTAAACCTGTGAGATAAGACAATTATTCCTCTGTCGCTGAATGTGTGATGTCGCGTCTGCACTGAGCACAGAATAAAATGGATGAAATACAGATTCTAACAAGTTTCAGGCTAATAATTAAATATAACTCAGTTTGACTCTATTAACACTAATCACCAGTTTGTTGCTGAGGCTACGGCCCTGTGCTCCACAGACGTGCTCAGTTTTCTGCAGCTGCAGGAAACAAATACAAGCATACTGAATATCTTAACAACAAAATGACAGTTGTATATATGAATTTAGTTTCACATCCCAAACTTCAGTAACATAAACCTCACGAAAGCTAAAAAATGTCTACAAATCCAGTAAATATTCAGTCTTACCTGTGTTTCATATGAATAGCCATTAAAACAGAACGATTTTAAATGGATGTAAATAAAACCAGAAAGCAACATTCTGCAACATTTACTTAAAACAAAATGTCCATTTTGCTTTTCTCTCTCCATAAAAATGCAACAGGAATTCAAGTGACACCTGGTGTATAAAAGATCTTATACACATACTTAAAATCCTGTGTTTGGAATAAATAGAAGAGGAACTGGTGTAAAACACTAGAAATATAACTGTGGAACATCACACATGTTGCTGATATAAAATAACATTAAAAAAATAAATAGATACGAAGGACCTTGCCGATCACTTAAAATATTTACGGGTGTGATTTCTGGCGTCAGATCCTGTATGATGTCGGAGGTCTAATGAAAGCAGTTTTAGACACAATGTTCCTTCACTGATATGTCCCAATTCTCACAAACAAAAAGTGCTGAGAACAAGCAATTAGAGTATGTGCATGTTTTACATACACACAAATAAACAACTAATGTTTTTCCCATTTAGCCCAGAAAAGATTTGAGTAATTTTAATTTCGTCCCAAGTAACTGAGACAGTAACACAAACATTGTGCTACTTGTGCATGAGGCAGATCGAGCAGAACCAGGACTGCAACTCTGTAAATGTTATCAAACTGTTTTCTGTTTTACTAGTCGTAGAACGTGGGTCCAGGTGTGGCGATGATGTCCTCGTAGGGTGCTCTCTGGTGCAGGTGAAGGGCTTTTTGTTTTTTCAGCACCAGGAGACAGAAGAAGGTGGTCGCAGCCTGCAAGCGAGTGCCTCCATCGCAGAGGGCCTCCAGGCTGAACGTGGTGTTGCTGTTACTTTGGTTCTGCAAAACAAACACACACACACACAAACACAAACACACGCATGTGAGAGAATTTAATTTCCCCGACATCATCCCTAATCCTGCCCTGGCCTTCTCACCTTTAAATCCCTGTCCACTGTGACTATAGATTTATATCTGCCATTCAGTATTAAAATAGAGCAGGGACACTGTGTTATGTCGGCCTCATGTTTAAAGACTTTTCAAGCAATTTCACTGTTGCGGACAAATTTCCAATGTCAGAATAAAATCATGAGAGTTTTGCTAGAGTTGTGGCGCTCGTGTGATCTTGATCATTTGGTGTATGGTCCAAGCTGTCCTTTAAGTCAGTCTTGATCTCATCTTTGTGTTCTGACAAACCAAACATGTTTAATATTAATATACGTTTTTAATCTTAGCTGACGCAAACAATAAAGTTCAATGACATGAACACAAGTCTCAGCTCTCTTGTGCTGTGGAAAAGGAGGAGAAACCTGTAGGAGTTGTGGAGTGAACAAGAGTTGGCGTTTGATTTGGCGTGTGTCTCAACCAACCAACTATTATCTATTTTAGTGAGAAATCTTTAATTTTTGAATCAGTTTGCGTCTCATTCTCACAGTCTCCCTCCCACTATAACAGCACAGCTAACCAACAGAGGCAACAAAATCCAAAATGTTTGTACTAAAATACAGTTTATCTTTTAGATTGCATTGATGCCAAATTGAGAAGAATATGGTCAAACTATGACAACTTTAAGTGAGTTTTAAGAGTTATGTGTTTTTGTGGTTACTTCTGTTCTGGCATCGCGACATCAAACCGCAGTTTCTCAGTTAAAATAAAAAGCGACCACTGAGCACTGCATGTGGACTTGATAAGCCAATCAGTGCCATGGGTAGGACTTGCGCTGTTGTCAAGCGATGTGCAGCAACTAATGACAACGATGGTGAACACTATAGACAAGACATATGCTGCTGTGGAGTCTGGTCTAAATCGACATGTCTTCCCAGTATCACCTGACATCGTAGTTTGTTCTTACTTTGCTTTGCTCCACTCTTAAAGCCCCAGCAAAACAGATATACATGCATGGCTATGCATTAGTGTGTGTTAGATTCAGATTTGAAGAGATTCAAAGCCTCCTCCCTCACAGATATCAGTTAGAGTGAACACAATGTCAGACTGAAGATTGACACACAGTGTAATGAGCTCTTAATTGTGTCTGATATCAGGCAAACCAGGAGCAGGTCAGGAAATGATCTCAAAAGGAGTCTAGTTATAGTCTTGCAAATGGTGACCCTGCAAGATCTCCAGTCTTTGCAAAATCCTGCAGTGTGTGACTAAAAACTCACATTGTATTTGATGTGAGAGGATGTCTTCTATTGTATGGCATAACATGGAAACAACAGTCCTGTGTCATGAACATGCTTTACACATATATATCATACAATATGTGAGACTGGAAAGTTGGTTTAACTGTGCTTCTAATACCTGAACGTTTATTTTTAGCTCCTTACTTTCAGAGTGTTCAGAAGCTTCTGTGCACGCCTGGTTTCTCTCCTCTCCTTTAAGTCCTGGCTGTCCAGCAGAGACTGCAGGTTAGAAAAGGACCATATTTCAGTCAGTGAAGCTGGGAACATCTCCAAGGCAGAATGGGAAATTAAGACCAGCCATCTGGCAAACACTGACAGATAGTGGCTTGTTTGTTTACTGTACCAGCCATTTTTTCCCCAGATTACCACCCATTATTAGTTTACTTTCATTTCAAAGATAAGAGCAGTGAAATCTGGAGCCTGACAGAGTCTTATTCCCTGCCCTGTTTCTATTTGTAACTGTGTGTGTGCTCGCAGGCACCTGAGTGTGGAGAGAAGTTGACTGAGTCTCCTCCTGCATGCAAGAAGGATGGACAAACATGGAGTCTTCGGATGGAAGCTCTGGGTGAGTGAAGTCCGACCTGTTTTCATCCTGACACAGATTATAAACCAAAAGTTAAAAGGTGAAGGAACATCATTAATAGAGATTTAACCCCTCTCTCAAAATGACATGCTGATGCTTACTTGTGTGAGATCTGAATTATTCTCATGTTGGTTGTAATTCACATGATCGAAGTCCATCAGCTCAGTGTTGCGAGTTCTTTCAGGACCTACTGATGAGTCTACGACACTGACGTCTGTGGTGAGGGCACTTATGTCCCTCTGATCTATACAAGACAAAATAAAACAGATAGCGTGGCGACATAACAGAGGAAAACACCAGTGATACATTTAAAGTAGAGCAATCATACTTTATGGAAATTAAAATTCTCCCACTGCTTGAATATGCAAGTTCCTACCTTCTTGTCCACCCTGGCGCATCACCTCATCCTCTTCACGCACACTCAATTTCATCTGGAAGATACTTTTAGCGAGGAGCTACAAGGACAAAATGAGCTTTAACAGAAACAGCAGTCATTTCAATGTAATTTTATAGTTAATAGTTTGTAAGATAAAAGACCAACATTCAGGGATTTTTTAGGGGTCTTTCACATCAGGGACCCGGGCCCAGATCTGAGTACACTTGACCCCAAAGTGCAGTTCATTTGATTAGTGGGAACACTTTGTACGGGCACGGTATGCCGAGCTGTACTCTGAACATTGATTGTACCAAAACACGGAAGTGGACAGCTATTTAACACGATTACAAGGAGTTTTTAACCGGGTATGAAACAGTCTCAATTCAATATTGATGCCTCTGTATCAAACAGCAGCACAGCCCGGCATAGATAGATCCAAATCCGACTTTGCTGTCACCTTTGACCTGCAGTCACAGCTCTATCAGGAGGTGGAGAGCTCCCAAACGACAGCTGGGAGCAGAGCTTCACCTCACTGCTCTGCCAGTCCCCTCTGATGATTGTCCCGGGGGCAGTAGTGTCCGTCTGCTGCACCTAAAACTTTATGTATATGATGACCCAAGTGTACTCAGGGACTAATACGCTGAGAGGAGGGGGATAGTACGAATGATTCATACCTAATATAAAGACTCCCTTAATCCCTTTACCTCCTTTATTTGTGGAGTTGCTACAGTCGAACATGGCTGCGTAAAGAGTTTGTCTGCACTGCCGCTCTCCTTCCACTGCATGAGCTGCAAGGTTGGTGGGGCCATGTCCAAGGGGGCAATCAGATCTGAATAGTCAAACAGCTGCTTTTTGATGAATTCATTGGTTAGCTCTTTAGTCTGGTCCACAACCAACTTGCGTTTCCTCTTCCCCCGCTTCTTCTCTGAGTTTGCTGTAAAGAAACAGAAGGTCATAGGAACGCTTGTTTTGCTGTATCAGGTATTGAAAGCCTGTTTGTGACAGAGAATAGACACTAGGTCAACTGTTTGAGATTTCGAGGGTTGGATGAGATTAGCCTGAGTGTCAGACTGAAGCTCCCAGAACCTTCAGTCTGACATGGCTTCCATTGAAGGCGATTTACAAGGGGGAGGGAATTTGATTTTTTCCCTAACCAATCAGTAGAGATCAACGACTCACCCAGAATCTGACGTTATTAGTATCCATGCTTCAGGGGTGCCGAAAATAAGCAAGCATTGCCCGTTTAAAATGTCTCCGTCGTCGTGCACGCCCAGCTGCATCGCTGTTAAATCCAGTTTAGCAGCTTCCTTAATTTGGTCCTCCATTAACGCGAGTAGTGGCGAAATACCTCGATAGCATCGTTAATGTGGTCTGTAGGATCTGTAGTGGTCGCCATTGTTGCTATCCTTACCAGTTACCCACCGGCGTACAGCTTGACATCAGCGTGGCGCTGATTGGCTAATTGCTAGACCCCCGGCGTTCATTGGTCCGTCCATCGTTTGGACGAGATAAATCGCAAATTCACTGAAGTATGCCAGACCAGTAATGCAAGCCTACTCAGTTGAGTGGGCAGGGTCTATGGTCTGGAACCAGGCTAGGATGAGATTTCTTTGAAACGTAGAAAGTTACTTTGGATTTTCTCTAAGCGTTTACAGTTCAAATGTCCAATCAAATTACTCTTACAAAAGCAGTACTAGCACAAACTACAAGTATACTCTGTATATTCTACAACATCCACATTTTTGAAGTGGAAGTGATGGCGATATTACCAATAATGGAAGGCTGTGTTAGAAAGACCGCTGCTGTTTGAACCTTCCAGCTTGACTCAGCATCGTTCTTCTCAGCACTCGTCTAAGAAATCCGGAACATCAGATGCGCTATTCATAAGTTGATGGAATATTGATTATCACGAGAAAAGATTTCATAATTTTAAAACTGCTATATTTTAAGGATGTCATCAAAAACGTAATCAAGTAATTCCTGACAATGTAACTATAATCTAATTAAACATTTTTTTCAAATGCAATCTGGGCTGATTATAGTTACTTATTTTTTGTTTCTGATTACATAGTCCCAGTTACATGTAATCTCTTACGGCCCTGGAGGTTTCTGGTCTAACTCTCCTTGCATTGCAATGTTCAGAATTATAATAGTGGTGGTGTCAGGGGGGTGATGCCAGTTCTTGTGGCAGTGTATCAGTTGATGTTTGCATAATATACAGCAGATCTTTGAGTTGAAGGAGTGAGTTTGAGAGTTAGTTCTGCTTACGAGTGATGGCCACAGGTTCAAGAGCAAACGCCTCCTTCTCGTTAGCGAGCAGGGTGGTCTCATCCACTGTAGGGGTCTCCATCTCCTTTCTATCAGCATCTGGAAAACACATGGAGCCTGTTTTGAATTTGAAAATAAGTCTGAATGCAAATGTGCTCTCTTGAGGAACAAAACATCCACCAAACAAAACAAGAACTGAGTGGAAAATAGAAAATAGATGCACAGCACTGATAATTATTGAACTACTATTATGCAGCTCTTCAGATGGAGGTGCCTTACATTAAAGTTAATGGAAGGTGAAAACAGGATGTGAATGACTAATGTGCTGTAAATATTTATCATGATGAATTATCACCTTGTTGATATCTGGGTGTAGAGATCTCCGGATTTTCATTAGGAGGCTCCTCTGGGATGAAGTCGGTGGATGCAGCGTTATCACTGGAGTTTGTCAGAAAGTCTGCAGGGCCATTTAAAAGGTAGAAGAACCAATCACTCTTCTTGTTAATTAAAAAAGCAGCACAGAATCATTATTGACACGACAAGGGCAAAGATTTTACATCATTTTCTTATGTTATCTGTATCAGTAGTGGGACTGTCTTGTTACAAAGACTGATGACTGACTGACAATAGATGAATGAGAGCAGAGAGAATCGTTTCCTGTTCAGTCATCGTGATTTAATGGGCAGTTAGGCCATGCTGTGTCTCAGATGCTATTTTCTTTGTGTCCCAATTCAGAGGCTGGATCCTTCAAAGACGCAGCCCAGGAACACTCGTCCTTTTCAGGCTGAATTTTTGCTTCCTTCCAAACTGAAACAGCTCAGCCTCATGGAGACAAAACCTAATGGGGTGCTTGTGCAATCCCAGTCAAGTTGTGAAGTCAAATACTTTACAGTTTACTGCCCTTAAAGTGCTGACAAAAGGCAAATGCCATTGGGAAACTGGGACAAGTTCCAGGATGCCTTCATGTGAGTATACAGTATGGGCTGTGACACTCCACATGATTTATGACTGGAAAATTATACCAGATATATCCATATATTCCTTTTATTTTTCCTTTAAACCCTCCTGATCCAAAACATATTCAGAATCCTAACAAGAACAAACTGAGGAAAAATCCTTCTACGCATGTTATGACATAATTGGTCTACAAAGGCTGACTTTGGAGTATTCAGCCCCTGAACTGGGACACTGGGAAGTCTGGTGTGTTGGGTTTGCTCACATCATTTCATTCCACCCTTTAGATGGGTCACCTTTAGCTTAAGTTTATGTATACAAACATCACAGTTACATCTTTTTGGCCAGTAACTCTGCATTGAAAAACCTGTCTGGTTTCTTCTGTGTCAAAATGATATCTTCATAATATTATTTACTGTTGTAAAATGTATTGTAGTTTCAGGGTTCCTACATCATAGCTCAAGTTAGAATTAAAACCCAGTGTAGGCCAAAGATTTGCGACGAGACGAAACTGTTTTAGGATGTTGCAGCAGTGTGAACTGGCCATCTGAGCTCGACTCAAGCCGGCTGATGGTGTCACCTGCGACTCCACTGATTAAATCGGCAGTGGCTGGTTTTAGAACGTCACCTGTTTCAACAGCCAACCGGCTTGTAGTGAAGTGCGCTGGTCAAGTCAAAATGACCTGTTTGAACATTGCAAATTTTGGTGTTAACTGGGCTTAAGACTTTTTTTCTTGCCACGTGGAATGAAATGTAACACCAATTTTACAGTAACAAAAACTGAATGGTAAAAAAAAGCCCCAACCAACATCAGTTTCTGAGATTTAGAGACAATTTTGCCTGAATGTTTATTGTAACATAAAACTTGACTTTTCTGGTAAATACCTGGTGTCTGTTGGCAAGTTTTCTTAGGATTTAGTGTTCTAACTCTGCATGTTGGCTTCCACGACCTTGATTCCCATCATGCCAAGTTAAAGCATTGTGTGAATTACCTTTTACCAGTTTAAGCAATGCCAAATAGCTATTTTTGGTTGAATCTCCAGTTCCTCGTGTCACCAAGGGTACAGTGAAAGCTAGCTACAGAAAGTGGATCCTCTGCTTTGAGCATCCCGGCCAGAAACAAAATATGAGTGTTATCGGTTCCCCTATCTTGATCTGTGTGAGGTTAATGCCAGAGGCATTTGGTAAACTAATTACCAATTATTTCAAGATTTCACAATGCAAAATTAAAAAAAAACACTGATAAGTTAAATTCTATTTGCCATGTATTCACAGTTTTGAAAAAGTGATTTAAGATGTTTTGATACCAAGTCAGGCCTTATTTTTAGATTAATAAACTCAATGCCTGTCGAGACTTCTTAAGGATCCACAGGAACCCTGAGTTTAACACAGACTTGGCAAATGGTTAAAGACCACTATTAACAAGAGCTGGCCAAAAAAACACAAGGATAGTTTTTTTCAGTGCTTGATGTTCTTTGGAGTAAAATATAGCAAAAATGTATCATGGTCAATTCACAATCCCTACCGAGTAGGTCAAATCCTTTATCCTCATCCCCAAATGTGTCTCCATGTTGAGCCAGGCTCTGGAAGTTCATATCCAGCAGCCCATTCTGGTGGCTCTGGGACTCATCTCCTATCCATCAGGGCACACAAAAGGAGGGGAAAAATTGCAAAGTCAGTATGAGATGTCAGCTCTGCACAGGAAAGGATGCTTTAAAGGAGAAGGTTTAAGTCATATATTTTTGTTACTGTCAACAAATCTCATAAAAGGACCAAAACCAACCATGCATTAGTCTGTCTCTAAATACATTCCAACTTTCCCATCTTTTCTGTGGAAATTAGCCTCAAGCACATTCACTGCTGCAGATCTAAATCTCACGGATAATTAATTTCATTTCTAAACTGTTTTCTAAAACTGCTGGGGACTTAACTTCTTATTAAATGTTTCCCAACCAAGTTTTCTTAGTACCTAGTAGTACCTAATTCATAATCATAAGTAGCAGGAATAAATAAATGCTGAATATATCATAATGCTCTTTACTAACAAGGAGAATGGCAATAGCTCGCATCAAATCAGGAAGTAGCATGGCATGGAAACAAACTAGTTCTTACCAAAGTCTATAAAGCTCAGGAATCCATTTCCAAAATCCTCTTTCAGAGTGATATCCTCTGATCGACACTGGTTCAGTGAAAAGTGGTCCACAACATCTATGTCACTAGTGTCCAAGTACGGGGAGAACACAGTGTGGGCACAGACAGAATACTTATTTATTAGGAAACAATAAGGGATCCGAATGTAGACAAAAGGGTTAGCTCTGCTACCAGATCTCAAAACAAAAGAAATATTACTTATTATATTAGTAAAGTTTGTAATCCAAGCATGACAACTTAATTTGTCATGTAAAGCATCTTTGAGTATCTTTAAAAGTGTTCTGTAAATAAAATTGATTAAACCAGGTCTATGTTTTTAATCATGGCCGTTTCATAAACTCAAAAACTTTTACATTACATTTGCATAAAAAACTTGACTTGAGTGACGTGTCTCAGAGAAACCTGCAGTACATAAATGTCATGTTGGAATTTGTCTGAGAAGAGAAGAAAATTACACCTTGGGTTTGGCACCTCGGTATCAAAGGCAGAGAAATCTTCAATCAAGGTAATTGCTTTAATTGTTGCCTCGAGCCCCTCCACAGGCATATCTGTCTGACCTGGTGTGTTGAGAGAGAGAAACATGGCAAATAATACAAATATGGAGTGCACTTAGAACTAGAAAAACCAGCACCCAATAATTAAAATGAAGAGGTATTTCTTTTGGAATTTAACCAGGTACTATAAAGTCAAGAAGACATCCTGTGTGTGTTGTTTGAATGAGTCTTTAGGATTTTACATACAAGTTCTTGTCAGCTGAGCAAACAGAGTAACATATGCTTACTTGTAGAAATGTATGCCTACATTAAGTCCCTGTCCTGTGTGACTGTTGAGTCTGTGTGATATTGCACATGTGAGAAACCACACATGCACATAACATCCATGCATTGAACTCCTTCCCTCCTTCCATAGTAAGTTGGTTAAATAATTATGTCTGTGTCACCCTCTGGTGGTTGCTCTCTTTGGGGAAAGTGTTTACCAGTGTTTACAGTCAGTTGTCAGTTGATTAGGTACATTTAGGTAAAACTAAAACAACGTGGTAAAACAATCCACATCTATTAAAGTTAACATATTCAGTTTTTGTTTATAAACAGTTTAGAGAGGTGTTTCAACTGTATGATCATTCTGGAGAATGTAGTGCAGTGCTGTTGCTTTTTCCCTCTAATAAATGCATCCAGCTCACCAGTTTTCACTTTCCTATCTCTGCCACAGCCATAAGTTTCAGCCAATTTAATGTAGCCACTGCCCTGCCAAACCCTGTGCTGCTATTATTTGTCATCACAATTTAAACAACTGTTAACAGGATGTGTTACCTGGCCTGAATGCCATTTTAATTTTAACCAGGGCATCATTGCAGTCTGCGAGGAGATACTTTGTTTTCTTGGAGTAGATCCGGACCACACCAATGAGCAGATGACCAGAGGTCCGCAAACCAATTTTCATCTACAAAGATCACACATACATCTCAGACAGCACTCATATTTTAGGTGTGAGTTATTACATTATATGGGGTTTTGGAGGTGTTATACATATACATGTATATGTATATATTTTACCTTAGGTGAAATGATGTCTTTGATGGTTGTTTCTAAATTACATTCAAATACATGGGCCTTGGTGAGTTTCCTTTCCCAGTGGGCTGCTAGCCAAATTTTGGCTAGTGGCCCCCGCTTGGAGGTGAAGAGCTGAGTGTAGAACATCATCATGGAGCATTGAAGCTAGCTGTCACCTGTGACAAACACAACAAGGGTTATTATTTAAACCTCTCACAAGTATCTGGTAAATACAACTGTGTCAGTTAAACCAACTATAAAGTGACAGAATGAGTAGTTAGCTGTTTAGTGAGTGTACTGTAACGTTACTGCCAACTGAGCTTGAACTTCGAGGGTTAAAGTCGGCTAATGTTAGCTAGTTGTGTTTGTTCCGAGGTAAGGTAGGCTAACTAGCTAGCTAAATAGCGACGTAAACATAATGACGACATTATGACGGTCTTTTGATACAGCTAACAACTAAAGTTGAAATATAAAGTTGCTTAATTAATTACTTAATTATACATAATTTGCCGGGCTAGTCTGACGTCAGCAGAAAAACCTACCTTCACTTTTAAAGTGCCGCGTTTTGACAGATGAGTTGACAGTTGGAGCGTGCGCATCACCGCGAGGACGTTACCAGGCAGCAACTTCCGCCCAAAGTACAACAGAAAGACGGAACAAAAAGCGGGTAACTCAAAGATTATAGCTAGTTACAAATATGGTGCTGGATACTACAGAACTATTAACATTAAAAAGTAATGTTAGGAAATCAATAAGTATTGATAAATGTATCCCTAGAGGAATATGAACCACTCGGTCTGTTATATCGTTGTTTAAAACAAACGTTATTTTGCAGTTGGCTCAGGATACCTAGTGTTAGCTAACGTTAGCAACTTCTACAACCTTTTTTAGAGTTAATGATGACAGTCGAACCTGTGTAACAGACTGTTCTAATGTTACATTGTATGTCCCTCTTGAGTTGCCGTAGGGTAAAGAAATTGCTGTTTAACCGTCTTCCGTCCTGTTTATTGTTTTATTAATTATTCGGTTAGGCGGCTGAATTAGCATTGTGCTGAAAGTTGGTCTTTTGAATGTTAACTAAATCCTGTATCATACTGTAACAACATTCACTCAACTACCTTAGGCTGGTCGTGACTGATGCCAGAGGAGATGTGTTCAAGCTACTTCTTCAGTTGAACCGCAGAGGTCAGTGTGACTCCATTTTTTAAGCTAACAGGTGTCTGAAATAATGTAGGCCTCTATTTTTATACAGTCTATGGTAACGTTAGGCCTATATCCCACTAATAACTGTGGGGCTTCATCTGTTACAGCAGTTTTATCTAATGTCTCAAATTCTGACAGCTATTAGTCCAGATGAAACAGTTAGATACATTTGCTTAAACAATCATAATGTCGTGTTATTGCCAGCAGACAGTCTAGTTGAATCCACATTTTGTGCAGTCAGGTGCAGGTTTACAAATGTGTACCCTGTTTTAAGTGGCAAGTCGCCATGTTATTTGTAGTTTATGTTAAAAATAGCATGTAATATCATGTACAGCTAAAGTTAAAAGTTAATTCTCAGCAAAAAAGCCAAACATTTGCTGTTAATCTCCTTTAACGCAAGGATTTGGTACTTTTTTGGTCATAAATGTTAGTGAAACTTAACATATATTTGTGCTTTGGACTGCAGGGATTAAATAAGGAATTTTCATACCTAAGTTTTGACCCTGGGAAATTATAATGGGAATTGGAAAGAAAAAACCATTACTCAGTTAATTGAAAATGTAACTGTCAGATTAATTAATATTGAAAGAAATCGTTTGTTTCTGCCCTCATTACTTGTATTTAGGACTTTATGTATTACAGGTGCAACAAAATTAACCAGAGCATGAAGGAGATGTCAATAAAACATGTAGACCTACACTTCACACAATAATGGCAATGCCTCTGTAGGTAAACTGTTTGTGTGCAGGGATTTGGGAGACAGAGGTATAGATTTATTGAAAAATATTTTCAAAATCAGCTAGCACTTTTTAAAAAAAGTCTCAGGAGCTATCTGGTACTTTTGCAGATAAATTGTTTGTCATGTTTTTCCATTTGTGTGCACCAGAGGGCGGCATTGGATACAGCAACGCTACCTGAACACACTGACACATGCAGACCCAGAGACGAGAAACAACCTGTACATTGTTATCACAATTAGAGTTTGGATCTAAGTTTCTCCTCTTGTCACACTAATAAAATATTAAAGATGCTCAGCAGTTAAGACACAGTGGACACATTTAAATACAACCCGATATAAAAAAAGACTTGCAGAAACTGCCTTGGTAAAACTTAAAATGTTTAATCTTGTTAAGACTATGTCACAGACTTGTTTTTGTACTCTGTGGTTTGGTTTTTGACTCAGCATTAGATGTGTTGTTCAGTTTTAATTTACTCCTCTGCAGTTACAGTGAATACTTTGTATGTGAATAGCCTAGACTCAGACCAACAATCTTCATGTGATCTAAAAAAACAAAAGTAATGATCTGAATATGTGTGCATAAAGATTTAATGACAAAATTATTGATATTTACCCAGGCCTTCAACTGTCAGATTAGTGAGGATTAATTGGTTCAGGGCAACTGGAAATACCTCTTATGCACACCTTGTATGTTTTTTTACATTTACGTTAGAATACACTGTAATGTATGTACAGAATATGATGTGTATGCAATGTTATGATACAATGTATTGTATATACACACTGTGCTGTAGGAAACAAACACTGTTCATATGAATTAGATGTTGGTATTAAAGTATCATACCAGTAATTCTTTAGCAGATTAAAGGGACACTTCTTGATCTGCCTCCAAAATATTGTGAGAGAACTATATGGCTGCAATTTAAGATTTTTTTTTTTATTATTATTGATTGATTGACAAATTATTATTTTTGAATAATTAATAAATTGTTTGGTCAATACAGTGTCACAAAATAGGGAGAAATGGCCCAGATTGATACCTTCAGATAGATTTCATTGTTTAACTAAAAGTCTTAAACCCAGAGATTCATTTTACAATGATATAAAGCAGTAAAAAGGCCCTCACAAATGAGAAACTGAAACAAGGACATTTTTTGGCAAAAATGACTTGAAACAATTAATTCTTAAAATAGTTGCTTATTGATTAATTGTCTGATCGTTTTAGCTCCACTCTTATGGCAGTTTTGTAAGTTTAGCCCATTCAACAGAGGCTAATTATTTGTTTGATTTGTTTATTAAACTAGCTACACTTTGATTCACACAGGAGGGTACAGGCCTGACGTCAAGATGAACCTGTCTCTGGACTGTGGACTTCTCAGCCATGAGGTAGGATGAAAGACCTTAAAAACGCTTTCTCTCCTTCTCTCTCTTTCTTTCGCAAAGACATACTTAAGAAGAAAAAATGTCCTCAAGTTACCGTCTTGGCAGCGTTGTTAGGCAGAGAATGATTAACGTCAGGATAAATTTGTGTGTTGCTTTAACTGGGTGCTCGGGGAAGTGTGGCTGCACAAGAACAGCTGGTATGGCAGGTCATGGTCTGAATTTCAAGAGGGAGAGAGAGTGAGATAGAGGATAAAGATGTGCAGAACAATGTTTTGGATCTTGCTCTGTAAACTCCACAGTCATTATCTTTGAAGTGGCTCCTAATTGAAGCTTTGGTTTATTTGGGTGCTGTGCTGGGTAAACTCTCACTCCATCTGTTGTGGCAAAACAGTGTATTGGGTAAATATTTCTAATCGTGTTAACTGTTAAGTTTCCGTCTGGCTCCAAATTTTAAGAATCTCACACGATATTCACAGTAATCAAAAACTGGGCGGGGGGAAATCATCGTTTTAGATTTATGGGTTCTGAAAAATACCCAACTACTGTGTGTGTGTGCCCATGTAGCATTAGTCTACCAGTTTCTCTCAATGTTTTGTGCCATATGAGGTCATTTTCTTTTGATTCCTCCTCTGGCTGCATCTCAATGCTCATCTATATTGGTTGCCACTAAAAAGCTCATCCTCTCGACTTTTTTTTTTATTTTACTCTGGAGGAAATAAATTACTTTGCCGTTAAGTCGATGCTTAATGCATATTTGCTTGGGCTCCCTTCTTGCATGGGAGTTTTTATTTTCATTTTATTCCTGTTTTGTTGAGCTGTGATAGAAGTAGATCTCCTCAGCAGATATGTTATATACTGTAAATATACACATTTCTGTTTGTATTTCAAATTCTAAACCGTCTTTCTTATGTGTGCTTTTGGATGCTTACATATTATCTTCAAAGGGTTGGCCACCTACCCCCCAGCTGTAGCTTGGCTGTCATCATGATTTTGGTCAGTGAGCTCAGAAATACTCCTCCGAAAATGCTGTCTCAGTGGAAAACAGAGATGTATTAAAGCGCCGCTTAAATAGTATTACAGTCCAGTAAACGAGAGCTCTTTTCACTCCCTAAGTCAGGGCATTTACACCTATTCATCTTGTCCAATCTACAAAAACATAAATTACAACAATGTATTAATTGTAAAGATGATTTTTCTTTTAGTAAATGACAGTGCGGTTCCTCTAACAAACAGATTGGTCAGTTTATGTAGACTAATATTTAGATGGATGGATTTCATTTTAAATTGAAGACTGTTGGCAGCTGTTTGAGCCTTGAGTGAAGTAATATGATATGTACTGTTGTCCCAGTTTTTATTGATTTTTGAGACGTGATGAGCCTGACAACCCACTGCCAGAGCAAATAAAACATGAGCTCACAGATTCCCAGGCTCACGCTTGACACTTGTAATTAATTTGTATTTGATGGCCAGCAGCACATGTGCACATTTGGTCGTGTTGTCTCTCAGTTGCAGTGTCTTGTGAAACGCTGAGGCTTTTGTCTAAAAACTGAGATGAGAGGGAGAGCTGCACACCAACCCAGGAATTTTAAACAGAGACCACACCAAGGTGCTGCCAATAAAGTCAATACACTCCTTTGTAGACACTTAGATTGGCAGTGAATTTGAACCCGGTGTGCCCTCATGTTAATGATTAATGTCAGTGTTCCCAAAGCAACGCTTCCTCACAGATAATTAAAATGAGGGAGAAATTCTAGTCACATAAGTTTTTTGTAGATGAGAAAATGGTTAGAATTAACTCCTGTGATAGCGTCTGTTAGGCTACAATTATAATTTACCATGTCCCTCAATCTGAAAAGATTTAATGGGAGGATTTTAAACAATCTGAGCTCTGGCTTTCTGGGAGACTATGCAAGTTCCTGTTGGACCAAAACGATTATTCAGTGTTTTTATTTTTTTGGTAAATATAGCTGCACAAGAATTGGTTTGATAATGATATCAACACATACAGTTTGCTTTTTTAATATGCACACATGAAGCCACACAGCAGCACAGTACCACATTAAAAAGGGAGAGCATATGCAAATATAATAACCCAGCTGGCACCAGACGTCAATATGACGTCAGAAAATATCTAACAATGTTATAAATTCATGTTGTGTGGACTTCAACATTATGTTGTTGTGCAGACGTTGGGTCTCCATACCTGACAGCTAAATGTGGTTATTCTACTATGTCAAGATGATGCTGACATGAGACTTTTGGTAGATGTT